GGGAAAGGAGGAGAAGGACCTTGCCCATGGATGATGGAGTGCTCCTGGCGGACCAGAGTGGAAAATGAAATTAAAGTAACTTTTTTTGGCATGTTTCCTCCTTGTATTTGTCGCCGTGGTTGTTGGTGGTGTTGCCGGTTTCGACAGGGACATGTCGACGGCGGCACCCGAGTCCGGAACTGGGACCGGAGCGGCGTCCGCGGGCCATGAGACTCAGAGACATCGACAACACAACCGAGCCACCTTCGAAGTCTTGATGTCGTCGACTATCGTTTTCGCGTATTGTCGTCCTATCACAGTCGCTCAATTTCCGCTAGGCATCGTCCAAGATGCTCGTCCATCCTTGGCTGCTTGAAGTTTGCATCCATTGCAATGTTTCCCTGGAGTTATATGCTCGTGCCTGGTACTCAATTCCAGGCAGCACTCTGGGCAATGCCATTTCCTTGCACCCTGATCCACAGGGCGTTGAACATTATAAGGTATTTACGCGCTGGATTTACACTGGGCAGTTTAAATACTCCACAGGGTGCTTGAAGTTGAACAATTAATCCCACCGTCCAGAATTCCTGAAGGTGTTTTAACAAGCCACATGACCAGCGAGTCAGAGAAACCGACTTCGAGCCTCGACAGGGCCGCACCAACTTCACATCAAGCTGACAAGCAGCCTGAAGGTGGCATCAAGGACTATGTTCGCATTTTCCAATACGCCGACCGCTATGACTGGATCCTCAATGCCATAGCATGTGTTTGCGCCATCGCCTCGGGGGCAGCTCTTCCCTTTATGTCTCTGGTCTTTGGCACTTTTACCACCAAGTTCAACAACTTCGCCTCTGGTAGATCAACCCCACAACAGTTCCGGGACGACGTGGACCATTTCGTCCTTTGGTTCATCTACCTCTTCGTTGGCAGGTTCGGCGTGACCTATATAGCAACAGGAACTATCAGCATCTCCGCCACACGAACAACCCGTGCTTTTCGCAAGGCATTTCTTGAATCTACTCTTCGACAGGAAATCTGGCATTTCGACCGCCAAACCAATGGAGCGACTGCCACCCAAGTCACCACCAATGGCAATCGAATCCAGACCGGGATCGCCGAGAAACTGGTCTTCGTCATCCAAGCGCTTTCCATGTTTTTTGCTTCCTTTATCGTGGCCTTGGCTGCCCAGTGGAAACTGGCCTTAATCACCATGTCCGTCATCCCTGCAATTTTCATCATCACCGGGGTCTGCATAGCTATCGACGCAGTTCAGGAGGCCAGAGTCCTCCGTATCTACTCTCGAGCGGCCGTCCTTGCTGAGGAAGTATTGTCGTCTATTCGAACAATCCATGCCTTCTACGCGCAGAAGAAAATGGTTCAGAGATACGACGACTTTCTACAACAAGCTCATAAAGAAGGGGGGAAAAAGTCTCCCAACTATGGTGTCCTTTTCTCTACTCAGTATTTCTGTGTCTACTCCGCTATTGCCCTGTCGTTCTGGCAAGGGTTCAGAATGTATCAGAACGGTGAAATTCAAACCGTCGGCAAGGTCTTCACAGTTGTGCTCTCCGTGACCATTGCTGCAACAGCAATTTCAAGCATTGCGCCGCAAATCCAGGCTGTCACCAACGCATCCTCTGCCGCTTCCGAACTGTTTAGCATTATAGACAAACCGTCACTTCTGGATCCTCTCGACCCTGCTGGCGCACGGCCAGCCTCATGCCGAGGCCACATCGAAATCACAGGCTTGGATTTTGCTTACCCCTCCCGCCCATCCGCTCAGATCCTGCATGGATTCACCTTAACCATTCCTGCCGGAAAGACCACGGCTCTAGTAGGAGCATCGGGCTGTGGGAAAAGCACACTTGTAGGACTTCTTGAAAGGTGGTATCTTCCCACCGCGGGCCGTATTACTCTTGATGGATTGGACCTGGACGAATACAATGTCAAATGGTTGAGAAGCCGGATTCGTCTTGTACAACAAGAGCCAATCTTATTCCGCGGAACTGTGTTTCAGAATGTCGCCAAAGGCTTTCTCGACGAGCAACGAAATCTTCCCCACGAGAAACAAATGGAATTGGTCCAAGAAGCCTGCAAAGCAAGTAATGCGGACGAGTTCATCAACGAACTCCCCCAAGGCTATGAGACCCAAGTGGGAGAGCGGGCTGGGACGCTAAGTGGAGGTCAACGACAGCGCATTGCCATTGCTCGCAGCATTGTCTCAGACCCAAAGATCCTTCTCCTTGACGAAGCTACAAGTGCTCTCGACCCTCGAGCTGAGAGACTTGTGCAAGATGCCCTAAATCGCGTGTCGGCGAACCGGACAACGCTAGTCATTGCACACAAATTAGCAACTGTGAAGACCGCCGACAACATAGCCGTCATGTCCCATGGGCGCATAGTCGAACAGGGTACCCACCTGGAATTGATCGATCTAAACGGCCATTACGCAGGGCTGGTTCGAGCTCAGGACCTTGGGTCCGTTGGACACGAAGAGTCCAACCAGCTTGTCGGTGAGAAGCAGATCCTTGATGCGACAGGTGAACAACTGGGGATCCAACGGACCCTCACTGTCGCAACTTCCGTGGGAGGGGACGTGGAAAAGGGGACAAAGCCTGTCGGAACTCTTGGCTACTCGCTCTTACGATGCATTGTCATCATGTTCTACGAGCAGAAGGCTTTATATTGGTGCTTCTTGATCTCAACTTTTGCTTGTCTTATCGGTGGAGCGACGTTTCCAGCTCAGGCCCTTCTCTTCGGAAGGCTTTTGACTATCTTTCAATTGACAGGCAAAGAAGCCCGTGACCGAGCAGACTTCTACTCATTAATGTTCTTCGTTGTCGCGCTCGGTAATTTGGTGGCTTATTTCACGATCGGTTGGCTGTGTAACATCATTGGACAAACCGTCACCCATCGTTATCGCGCGGAAATGTTCGAACGTGTCCTCGACCAGGACATCGAGTTCTTCGACCTTCCGGCAAATACCTCGGGCGCATTGACCTCGAAACTCTCCGCACTTCCCACTCAGCTACAAGAGCTCATTTCAGCCAACATCCTCCTCATCTTCATAGTGTTGGTCAACGTCGTGTCTAGCAGCGTACTAGCTCTGGCTTGCGGTTGGAAGCTGGGCCTGGTGGTGGTCTTTGGAGCGCTCCCACCACTCCTTCTGTCTGGTTATCTTCGCATACGACTGGAGACTAGGCTTGAGTCTCGGGTTTCCGACGAGTTTGCGGAAAGTGCCGGGCTGGCCAACGAAGCTGTCTCATCCATCAGAACCGTGGCTTCCTTGGCGCTCGAGGCCCATGTCCTCGAGGAATATTCACAAATGCTCAGCAGTATCGTCCTGAAGTCCACCCGGGCATTGGTGTGGACGATGTTCTGGTTTTCTCTGTCACAGTCCATCGTGTTTCTGGCCATGGCACTCGGTTTCTGGTACGGTAGTCGACTGTTAGCATCAGGAGAGTACACGACGGAACAATTCTACGTCATCTTTACTGGCGTGCTCTTTGCGGGCCAAGCCGCGGGTGAATTCTTCGGATACACTACGTCCATCACCAAAGCACGGAGCGCAGCGAACTACATCCTCTGGCTGAGGACATTGCAGCCAACAATTAGAGAGACGGACGCCAACAAAACCAACGGGCCCGAAGGGGATGGGCCCGTTGACCTCGAGGATATCGAGTTCCGCTACCCTCAACGAGAAACATCGCGTGTCATTCGAGGCATCTCTATGGGCATCAAGCCTGGACAATTCGCTGCTTTTGTGGGAGCATCAGGCTGTGGCAAGTCGACTCTGGTTGCCTTGCTCGAAAGGTTTTATGACCCAACCTCGGGTCGAATCTGTTTCTCCCACAAGGACATTGCGGCCATGTCGCCTCGGCTCTACCGTGGACATATGTCTCTCGTGCAACAGGAGCCCACCTTATACCAGGGCTCCGTCAGAGAGAATGTCTCCCTTGGTCTTGACTTCGTGCCGTCCGAGGAACAAATTCAAGAGGCATGTCGTAAGGCGAACGCACTGGATTTTGTGGTTTCTCTTCCCGAGGGATTTGACACTCCATGCGGATCTCGTGGGACGCAGTTGTCCGGCGGGCAGAGACAGCGCATCGCCATTGCGAGGGCTTTGATCCGGAACCCTAAGCTCCTCTTGCTCGACGAGGCCACGAGTGCACTTGATACATTGTCGGAACGGCTGGTACAAGCAGCACTGGACGAGGCCGCTATGGCTCGGACGACCATTGCCGTGGCGCACCGACTGTCGACTATCCGCGAGGCTGACGTTATATTTGTGATTTCGAATGGGAAGATAGCAGAGATGGGGACACACAGGGAGTTGCAGCAGTTGAAAGGCCGCTACTATGAGATGTGTCTGGCGCAGTCACTGGACCAGGCTTAGAGGTTCTTGTTCAAACTGCTCCACTGGTGTTTCTCTCCTCTTTGTGTACAATACGAGATAACCTTATGCTCCCTGGTGCTCGGCGTGTTCTTTTCGTTTATGCATGCTGTGAGCCCGCATATTCGAGCTTTCATGCACAGTTTGAAGCCCCGGCATGATTCGGGACATGAGTTCTCCCGTATCTTTATCAACAGGTAAGGGTCCCCACATCCAAATTGCGGAGCTTGGTACATATCAAAAGTACGTACCAGTCTTGGAACCACTCACCTTGGCAGAACCTACTACTGCATATGTATATATCTGTTCGTTGTCCTCGCGCCACCAACTTATATAAGTTTAAGGGAAATGCATGAGCGGTCCAGCGCCAGAGACGCTCCACGCAAGGGTCTCACGGCGCTTTGTAGGCGCTACGAAGCACGTAACACTTCTACCGAGGCGCTAACTGCTTCTATTTGGCGGGTTGCCTAGTTAATAGATAAATACTACGGAGTATAATATAGAGACGATGTCCGGTTCCCCGTCTGACCTGCTAGCTGTTCTGTACAACACCCGCGGCATGTAAGTCGAGCTTTACTGTTCGGCATCGGTCGTGAAAAGAAGTAAACCTCGCAGGGTGATTCTCGCAATGTCCTGGACTGTCGACGTAGGTATTGTCCATTTCTACCAGGTCGAAACAACACCGACCATTCGCGGCACTCGGCGATATATTATACACCAGTGTTGCAAGACGCAAGCTCAGGCTACATACCCCTCTTCGATCCCCTTCATCTTTGTTATTGTTTTCCTGTGAATCCAAAAGCCGGGAAAACCCAAGCATCGAGAATCCAGGACTGACTGACTGGGCCCTCATAATTAGTACCTCCTTGCCTTCCACAACTGGTGGAACAAAGTCAACGCGGTCAAGAAGGACGTCTTCAGCCAGAAACTCACAACAGTCCAATCAACGGTCTCTTCTCCTTCTCCTCCTTCGCAACCGCCTCTTCTGCGGCTCGGCGTCCTCTCCGCCGCCGCCATCAACAACACCGCCATCTGGGATCCCGTCGCGACACATCCATCGACGGTAATAACGGGTCTCGCTGCCCGGGACAAATCGCGCGCAGAGGCCCAGATCGCAAGCCACAAGCGGTTCCTTCCGGTCGAATGCAAAGCTTACGGCTCTTACGCATCGCTCCTCAACGCCGAGGACATTGATGCCGTGTACATCCCGTTGCCCAATGGGCTGCATCACAAATGGACGCTCGCAGCGCTCGAAAAGGGCAAGCACGTATTGATTGAGAAACCCATCGCCTCCAATGCGCAGCAAGCGCGAGAGATCCGCGACGCGGCCGCGCGGGCGGGCAAGGTCGCGCTGGAAGCGTTCCATTGGCGCTTTCACCCCAGTGCCCACGTTGTCAAGCAGCTGCTCCTGAGCGGTGACTACGGGCGCGTCATCGCCGTCGATGCCCGAGCCGTCCTACCCGGCGGCGTGCTGGGCAAGGACGACATACGCTTCAAATACGACCTTGCGGGCGGGTGTTGTATGGACCTCACGTACGTCTTCAGCGCCATTGCGTACTTTGCCGCCCGCGACGTCACGGACCCGAACCTCGAGTTCGAAGTCGTGGACGCCAAGGCGCGGTTGAATGAGAAGGACAAGTTGATCGACGAGGCCATTACCGCGACGCTCAAGATCAAAGACCCCAATCCGTACGCTGCAAGCGACAGCAGGACAACCGCCCCCGCGGAAATCAAAGCTTCACTGGCAGCAGACCTCTCGCAGCCGAAACTCTTCGGCATCATCCCCAAAATCTGGGCCGCCGGGGTCCCAAGCGTGACGATCCAGTGCGACAAGGCCGAGATTGTGTACGAGAACTTCATGGGCCCCTGGCTCTCGCACAAGATCGCCGTCGTGCCCGTGACGCGCGATCCGGCCACAAACGAGATCGTCAAGCGCGGCGGCGCCACTAAGAGGAAGCCCCTTACTCTCAAGCAGTTCAAAGGCGGCCCGCTCTGGGACCGCGAACTCACGCTGGACGGCGGTCAGGCCTGGTGGACCACATACCGCTGGCAGCTGGAGGCGTTTGCCCGCATGATCCGCGAGGGCGCGGGCGACGGAGAGGCCGGATACAAGGGCCCATGGGTCGATATGGCCGAGAGCATCCGCGTTATGGAGATGATTGACAGCACGTACGAGAAGTTGGGCTTGCCGCTTCGTGGGGCGTGAAAGGGGCATGATGAAGGAAGGAGAATGGGTTCTTGAGGTAGTTACTTCCTCGGTCGCTCGGGCACGACACGCTCGGCAGTAGCTACCCAAGACACATGTGTATATAGATAGATGGAGAGGGGGTTGTGCGGAAGGAAGCTAGGGTTCATGCAAGCAGGTAGGGTTTTAGATATACTTAGGTATATATATGTAGCGCGATTGCAGAGACGCAGTCCGTTTCTGTTCGCCACCACAACATATACATACAATACTATACCATTCTCTATTAGACCCTGCTATATCTATCTATACCTGTACTCCTACTTACTTATCGCCGTCATGACCTCTTCAGCTACCTACCTGCCTACCTGCTAGCCGCCCATCACGATATTCCTACCTAGGTATCATGTACCTAATGTACCTGCCAGGCTAGAGGCTGGTTGAACCGCCACGCTCAACTCAGGTCGACACGGTGCTCGTTCATCTTCCCGTGCTCAGTTTTGACGTCTGGTTCTGTTGAATTATACTTTCATGCTAAAATGCACCACCCACGCGTCAAGAAGTTTGCCTGAAACGAGACATTTCCTTCTGACAAGCAAGGCAATCAAAAGCCCGAAGCCGGTTCGAAAGATAACTGTTGTTTCTTGCCTCGAGCAGAGAGAAAGATAGAGATCGGGAAACGGGACGGGGATGGGAACTTACTTAATGTTAATCTGCTTCGGCTCGAGGTATACCTTGAGCCCTTCTTTGCCCAGCTCCCGGCCGGTGCCGGATTGCTTGACGCCGCCAAAGGGGGATTGGATCTCAGGCACGAACAGGCTGTTAATGGAGACACCGCCGGTTTCGAGTGCGGATGCGACACGTAGGCCACGCGTGAGGGATGTGGCGTAGATTGGCGCTGTTGGGAACGTATCAGTTTTCCGACAAGGAGAGACGGACTGTCGGTAGAGACCAAGGGAAGGCACAAAGGCCATGGGAGGAAGCACGAGAAGGGGTGAAAAGAACATAGGGGAATGCGACATACATGTCAGCCCATAGGTCGACTCATGCACCAACTCAATGGCCTCCTCTTCCGTCTTGAACGTTTTGACGCTCATGACCGGACCGAAGATCTCCTCGTTCCAGACTGTAAGTAATTGAGCATCGTCCTTGCCGATGTCAATGTATCCCATCACACGGTCGTACTGGGTCCTTGTCGACTACAGGACCATGCATGGTAGTTGGCTCGAGTGGGTTAGGGCCCATCCCAGCCGAAACTGATTCGAACTGTTGCTTGAGGGCCTCTTCAGATTTGGGCGCAATGTCCTCCTGGACGAGGACCCGGGATGCCGCTACGCAAATCTGCCCAGAGTTGACGAGGAAACCCTGTCCCACGCCTCCAACCGCAGCCTCGAGCGGTGCGTCACTGAAAACAATAGCTGGTGACTTGCCGCCAAGTTCCAGGGTTACTCGCTTCATGTTCTATTTCAATGCGGCTTGTTGCACAGCCTTGCCGGCCCCAACGGAGCCGGTGAAGCTGATCTTTGAGATGTCCATATGGGAGGCTAGCAGGGCGCCAGTCTTTCGCTCCCCAGTCACGAATTGAACAACACCGTCTTGAAAGCCGGCTTCTATGTAGAGAGGGGCAAGACCAAGAACTCCCAACGGTGATTTTTCCGACGACTTGAAAATGAACGAACAGCCTGCAGCCAGAGCTGGTGCTATCTTCCAGCCGACATAGAGGAAGGTCGCATTCCAGGAGACAATCCCCGCGCACACGCCCACTGGTTCGTCGCGAACGATCTTATACATGCCGTTGTCCTCAGAGAACGTCTTGCCGGGATTTTTTGTCTGCCTAATTAGCATAGTAGCGGTAGACAGAGACTATGTTGGGGAGGTCAAAGTGCTTGATCATAGAAAGTTGGCGACCTGTCGGCAGATACTCCAGACGAGCAAGTTTGTCGATATTTTGCTCCACCAGGTCTACAAATTTGAGCATACATCCCGCTCGTTGGGCGCCCGAGAATTCCTTCCATGGTGCCTTCTTCACGCCGCGACGGAGGCCGCGACTGCGGCATCAATGTCTACACTGTTGGTGACATGGATATCTTCCGCGACAACAGATTCATCCCAAGGATTGGTGAGGGTGAGGCGTTCGGAGCCTTGCGCTGAGCTGAAGGCACCGTTGATGTAGAGTTTGCCGTTGTATTCGTCTGAAGAGAGAACCATTTCGGTTAAGAAGGAGCTGTCAAGTGCTTTCTCTCTGTAGGGTTGATCAGGAAAGACTGTGTCGGCGCTTCTGAGTCTTTTGCAGATATCGTTTCTGCTTTATATCTCCTTTTGCTTCAGGAATCCTACCTATACTGACACGAGCAGCACGAACGTGCATGAATGCGCATGAAAAAGCCACTACGCGGGTTAGAGTGGCTTTTCCATCGGTCACCACTAGACATTCACTAGCAAGCACTCTGAGCTTCCTGGCCTGCGCTGTTCTTTCTCTAGGGGGAACGCGGCTCCAGTAAATTGTAATAGATCGGGGAAAAGTAAAGGACTTTTTTCGGGGTTATGCGCTTGATGTCCTTGGCCATACGCAGCCTGATCACGGAGCCGCTCCACCGGACCCGGGCTTACCGCCGGTCCAGACGAATCTCACTGGAACGGAACTGGGCTGGTGGCAAATCTCAGGATTGTACTCGCGGAGCCTGTTTGGCCATATTGGCTGACGATTCTGGAAACGAGCTTGATCTCGGAACGCACATTGTGGCCGTTGGTGGGCTACCCAAAGCCTGGATCTCCCAAAATGTGGCTCTCAACGTTCTCAACCTCATACTGCATTAAATAGGTGCGGTTCCTTTGTAGTCAATCGTGTTTCATTACAACTTACCATAAGATAGACATCAAAAAAGTGTGCTGGTTCCAGCCAGATGCAATGTCATTCCGCCAAGCGGTGGCATGGGAAAATTTCTCAGCCCTGTGCTGTCGGGACGCGTTTGCAATCATCTGTAGTCAGCATTGATGCGCCTACCGGGTCACAAAATGGTTACACTAGGACAGCCATAAGCAGTCCAAAAGAGGAAACCCGTATAGTCGGCCGCAAGACAACGGCGAGCGGAAAGATGGTTACGCCGGTGACCAGAGAAGGAAGCCCAAAGGAATGTCATGCCTCGTATATCAGTCTGAGGAGAAGCGGAAAGGAAGGCTGTTTCGCCGCCAAGCCCTATGGATGTGGAACACGCCTTATCGATAAGGATCACGTGACGAGCCATGAATTGAAGGACTACGCGTCGGCGTTCAACTGCCACTTCCTCTGTGACTTCAACAGTCGGTGCCTTCTTTTGAGCTTCCTGTTACATCGTCGAGGACTAATCTCGTCCGCTTCAGACGGTAGATCTTCCTGCGAAGATGGTCTCTGCGAAACTCACCGCAGCTCTGCAGTCGATTGCGGCAAGTCCTACTGCGTCCAGACATCAAAAATACAGTGACCTTCTCGCCCAACTGACGAGCGCGCCGTCAACATCGGCTGAAGCATACAGCGCAGACTTGAATGCCTACTTCGACTCATTGCTCTCCTCTGCTCTCGGGATCATTTCTATTCGACCTCTCGTGACAACGCTCATCGATTGTCTCGCATCAGCTCCGTCTGAGGTCCAGATCAAGGTTGGGTCACATGTCACTGAAGCTTTACAGCCCCAGTTAGCATCTTATGAAGAGCAGGATGCAAGAGTCAGAGAGATATTAGCAAAAGGATACGAAGCAGAGGAAGAATACACTGCGGCTGCAAAAGCATTGCAAGGTGTTCACCTCGACACCACTCAACGTCAGGTCTCTGATCGAGCCAAGGTGGAAATATGGATTCGTATTGTACGATATTATTTGGAAGATGATGACACTGTGGCAGCAGAGACGGCGCTGAACAAGATCAAGAACTCAGCCGCTGCAGCTCAAGTTTTGAAGGATGCCCCTGACTTGAGGTTGCACTACCAGTTGTCCCAGGCTCGTATTTTGGACTCTCGCAGAGATTTCCTTAACGCGTCAACCGAGTACCTCAATGTGTCTTTCAACACCATGATCGATGACGAGGAAAAACGACGGGCTTTGTCTGCTGCAATCAAAACTGCTATCCTTGCCCCTGCCGGACCCCAAAGGAGCCGGACTCTTGCCAAGCTGTACAAGGATGAGAGATCGCCCGAGACAGAGGAGTACGGCATTCTCGAGAACATGTTCTTGGATCGGTTGTTGTCAGCGACTGAAGTGGAAGCCTTTGCATCAACATTGGCACCCCATCAGCTCGCCAAAACCGCCGATAGCAGTACTGTCTTGAGCAAAGCTGTCATTGAGCATAACCTTCTTGCTACCAGCCGGCTCTACAACAATATTACCACGGCGGCGCTCGCACAGCTACTCGGCCTCAAGGATGGTAAGGAAGAGACTGCCGCTGAAAAAGCCGAAGATTACGCCGCCAAAATGATGGAGCAGGGTAGGCTGAGGGGCGAAATTGATCAAATAGCTGGCATCATCAATTTCGAAACCGTTCCTGGTGTTGAGCTGAGAGGGCCGTTGCGTGATCTTCGAGAATGGGACCAAGGGGTGCAAGGTCTGGTGGAAGACGTGGAGCGATGCGCCGCTGGGATTAGCGAGAGTTTCCCGGTAAGACGCGAAACAATATGGGCATTCACTTTCCGGAACAGTATGCTGACTGATATGATGTAGGAGCTTGCGGCAGAGGGCATGGTCCACTGATAGTCTAGATCTGACATCTTACTCCCGCTCTTCCAGGACAGGCACCGGCAGTTTAAACGCACATGGCACGGCAATATCTCGCAAGGCTCTTCAGCACGATGAGAGACCGTACAATGTCAGTCGCTCGGCCAATGTCGTTTTGATGGGTTCATGTGCATCGACGGTTGCTTGATGCCGAGGAAGCAGTACGCTTGACCACATCGGTCGGAGCAGATGGAAGGATATGAAACACGGTATGCACATTATGGCGGGCAAGGCAAGAGCGGGAGAGGCCTTTTGAAAGAAGTGACGCCACACCTTCGCCTCATGTCCGAACGAGCCGTGGGACTTGCATCCGAAATATCGGGGCAAAGATGAGGTTGGATAAGACCAGCCATTCGTTGAGGGGAGGGGACGGGGTATGCCATCGGATGCGAACTTTTTCCAAGGGAAGTATTGCAAGTAGTTCTGTTAAACGAGCATCGACGCCTAAGAGTTGGGGAGGGCAACAAGGGCGATAGGGGCAGTAGGGGTGGGGGGTAGGCCAGGGAACCACTAGGCCCCAGTGAGGCGGAAGGATGGCGGGGTACTTCTAGGCATTGATGCTAAGCGGCTAAGCACTACGATCCATTACTTAAGATGTTCTATCCAATCAGTTGGAGGCAGTTCTCAGCTTTCACTTCCCGACTTCAACTTCCGACCTCTGCATCTTCGAGCCGTCAACCTTCGCCGCCATCTAGAGTCGCCGCCGACTCGCTACACTGTGTGGGCACCAATACCCTTCCTTGCCCTTCTCAGACTGTTCGCAGTATGCTCTTCGGTCTCAGTCATTGACTCTAGACCCCCCATCGTACTCTCAGCGTCACGACCCCGAGTTATATATATAACCTTGTGCGCTCTTCGCTGCTAGCTCAAGACGACCCAACATCAGTCAGTCACCGTCTCGTTTGAACGGGAAACCATCTCTCAGAATCCAGATCATATTCAACGCAGTTAGACATTCGAGCCACTCGGACACTCAACCTCAGCATGTTTGTAACCTCGTTCATCTCGCCATGGGCGCTCCTTCTCGTCCCAGTCCTCTACTACCTCCTGCCATATCTGCGGAATTGGTCTCTCTTGAAGGTCCCTGGCCCTCTCCCAGCCGCCCTTTCAAATTTATGGTTGCTGTACCAGGCACGGCGGGGACGGAGATACAAAGTAGTCGACGACCTGCACAAGAAATACGGCAAAGTCGTGCGCATTCAGCCGAACCATGTCTCGATCGCCGACGACGCCGCCATCAACACCATCTATGGACATGGCAATGGATTCCTCAAGAGGTAAGTCAACAATGACTAACAGCCTCAATTAATTTGCCCTTCTCCTGTGGTTCAATTCAAGCCTAACTGCCCAATTTGAAGTGAATACTATGACGCCTTCGTCTCCATCCGCCGCGGCTTGTTCAACACCCGCGACAGAGCAGAACACACCCGCAAGCGCAAAGTTGTCTCACACACCTTCTCCGCCAAGTCAATCGGCCAATTCGAACAGTACATCCATGCCAACTTGGAACTGTTTGTGCAAAAGTGGAAAAACCTTTCCAACAGCAGGAAGAACCCGCAAACCGGCTATGCATCGATTGATTCCTTGCACTGGTTCAACTACCTCGCCTTCGATATCATCGGCGACCTTGCCTTTGGACAGCCATTTGGCATGCTGGAAAAGGAGAAGGATATTGCAGAGATCCGCAAGTCCCCGGACGCTCCGCCCACCTCTGCACCTGCAATTGAAGTCTTGAACCGTCGAGGTGAGGTATCGGGCACCTTGGGCTGTCTGCCACAATTGAAACCCTATGCCAAATACCTCCCTGACCCCTTCTTCAGCCAAGGCGTTGAAGCCGTGGAAAACCTCGCAGGCATCGCCATCGCCCGCGTCAAGCAACGCCTAGAGAATCCCAACACCGACCGAGTCGACCTCCTCGCTCGTCTTATGGAAGGTAAAGACGCTAATGGCGAAAAACTCGGCCGCGAAGAACTCACCGCCGAGGCACTCACGCAACTGATTGCGGGATCCGACACCACGTCCAACACCGCTTGCGCAATCTTGTACTACGTCGTACGCACCCCGGGTGTCCTCGAGAAATTACAAAAAGAACTTGATGCAAACATTGGGCCCGGCGTTCCGCAATACGAGCAGGTTAGAGACCTGCAGTATGTGCAATGGGTCATCAGCGAAACCATGCGCATCCACTCCACGTCCTCGCTCGGACTCCCCCGTCTCACCCCCATGCCAACACCAGACAACCCAAATCCCAAGCCCGTCGAAATTCTGGGCTACACTTTCCCCCCCGGCACCGCCCTGTCCGTCCCCTCATACACGATCCACCACTCCAAGGAAATCTGGGGTGCTGATGCCGACGAATTCGTCCCCGAGCGCTGGTCTGACGGACGACTCACGCCGCGACAAAAGGAGGCCTTCATCCCCTTTTCGGTAGGGCCCAGGGCGTGCGTCGGCAGGAATGTCGCCGAAATGGAATTGAAATGCATGGTCGCGACGGTGTTCAGGAATTTCGAGTTCAGAGACGAGCACCAGGGTCCGTTGCAGACGAGGGAAGGCTTTCTCAGGAAGCCTCTGGGATTTAACGTGGGCATTCGAGTGAGACCCAACGCTTGAAGGAGTGATGCCAAATGGGATTATTTCATAACGAATGAGAGGGAAGCGTGTCTGTCTAGCGGGATGGATGCCACGACGAATTGGAAGGGATGGTAAGCGTATCCAAAATGATGACTCGTTTGCATTATATTGGGATCTGGGATCTGCATTGCCTTGTTTTCTTTTCCTTGAAGATGTTTGAGCAAGTCGAGGTCAGTGGACGGGGGAGGACAAGGTCCGGCGGCTTCTCGTGGCGACGACAACGGTGACGACGATGGTGCACGATGCACGAACGCAACCGGTACAATACAAATTGAATTGAGAGTTGAGTGGAGGGGATTTTTTTTCTACATACTATTTGGTGGCCGTCGAGGAGCATGCGAAATCTGGATTCAATCAATCGCATTGGTTATGAGTGAGGGCTTCAGATCAGATTGTCTTGTCGACCCAAAGTCGTTTGACTAGGTATGTACTTAGGTAGGTACATATGTAGGTATGCAGGCGCAGACCACTTCCTTATCGTGCCGAGCAAGCTAGAGGTACTATTGAATACGTTACGAATATAAAAAGCAAAAACCGAATCAGGAGTTAGAAACTGAGATTGAGATTGAACACTGAAATTGCAAATCACATCGACACCGAAAGGAAACACTGTGTTTTTAATTTATTCATTAATATATGCAATGCGAGGCGATGCGGTGCGATGCGGGTATCACTGTTCTATCTCTATCTAGGTAACTAAGACATATAAGACATATTGATATCGAACCAAATTTTGAATACTGAGACCCTCCTCTCTCTTCTTCTCTTCCTCTCTTCCTCTCGCCGCTCTCTCCCGTCCCCTGTCTCTCTCAGTGCCGTCTCAATAAAAGCGGTGACGAACAAAGGTAATGAGCTGCATCAGCAAAAAACCCCGTTGGAAGGATGCGGCACGGTACAGTGTGAGTGATCAAAAGCAGGGTTGGGGGGAGGGTCTGTATTTCTTTCTCGTCTGGGACACAAACTTCCTAGGGCACTTTCTAGTTATACACTGTCGTGATCGTCATCATTTGGGGGTCTCGTTGTGATTCCCAGGTTCTTCGTGTGTAGAAATATCGAGGTCGTGGTTGTGGTTGGGGTTGAGGCCGAGGTCGAATTTTGTACGAAGTGTTGTGCTGTATTTCCCTCCAACATATATCCGTAGGCGCGAAGGCTCCAGATGGAGCTGGTGGGATAGGATAAGCAAGTAAGCTGCTGAGATATATTGCCTGATGGGAGAAAGGGTGGACAAGGTGGGAGTTTGTAGGTGTTGGGTGGGCAGCGGCTTGACGGAGTCGGAGTGCGAGTTTGTCCAAAACTGGTCGCTCGGGCCTAGGGGCCATGGGGAGTGCGCTCTGCTTGTAGGAAGAAGATTGCTCATAGCTTCGCTTTCAGCTTTTGTGTGTCCTCTTTGGCCTTATTCTCATCCACGGCTACGACCACCAGGACCGCGATGTCGTCCACCTTGCCGCCATGCCAAGGGTCGTAGGGGAACTGCTTCTGCATCTCCTTGGCAAATGGGCCATCTCGCTTTGTGCTGAGGCTGGCGCTCTTCGCTTCGCCGACAATTGCCGCCGCTAACACGCTCTGTAAGGTGCCCGTCGCGAGAGGGAGTTGTTGGGCAGAACTGTCGACCGTGTCCGAGATTCGAAGCCTATGTTTGTGAGGTCCCAAGGTCTTGTCCACGAGCTCCGAGAGGACGGGCGAAACGATGTACCCTTGGTCCTCGGACCTCAACCAGGCGCCAGTCGTGCGCATGTGCAGAGACACGACGGACAATATGTCTTGGGAGTTGAGGTTGTCCCAGACACCGTCGGTCGCCAGGACAAGGACGTCACCGTGCCGAAGCATATGGTCTGCTAGATCGGCACGGTCAGGTTTGTCGTTTAGGGGCAAGCCACCGAAGATCATGGCCTGGGCAAGAATATCGGGCGGAGTGAGGCTCATCTGGTAGGGCGTATTGAAAGCATGTGTCTGCGGGTTGGAATAGTGATGCACGGCGCCCAATCGCAGCTGTAGGAAACCCGAGTCGCCTAGATTTGCGATCCGCATGCGACCGTCTCCTTCTGTCACCGCAACACATGCGGTTGTTCCTCCTGCGTGGATTGCAGGATCGCTAATTGTTTTGTTATACCCTATCTCGAGGAGTTGTTTGGGACCAAGCCGCTCTTCGGATGACCAAGAGAGCGTGGTCTCTGCCATGTAGCTGCATAAGCCATGGGAGAAGTCAGCTGGGTCGATTCCATGCTCGGACCATCCACCAACGCCATCCGCTATTGCGAAAGCTATCGTGTTCGGGTCCTTTCCAACACAGGCAACAAAGTATGCGTCTTGTCCACTGTCTGGGCGCCGGATTCTCTTCTCTTCGAGCGTTGAACCACGTTGAAGGCCGAGTGCGTCGTCATCACTCGGAACGTACTCGTAAGTGCTCAGTTCCGGGCGGTATTTGCGGCCTTTCCCGCTCGAAGACGCCGCGATGTGTAGTGAAATGTGAGGGATTGCGGAGTTAGACATGCCAGGAGTCGGGGCAGGGACGGCGGCTGCACGGCGCGGCGATGAGCACAGACTCCTGGTGTTGAATCTGTAAGGATCGAGGCCCCGTCGGATATTTCGTTGGAGGTCTAGAAAGACACGGTAAGCAAGGGCTGGATCGTGACGAGAGGATTTGCCCGCACGGTGGTTTATGTGTGAAGGAGTGAATATCAAAGAACGAGTGAGAAAGGCCGGTGCAGCTCGAACAGTGCCAGCTGCCGCGGACATGGTGGTGACTTGTTCACAGGGTTATGAAGAAACGTGAAGGATCTCCCCGGAGGCTTGGGAGTCTAGGTGAGGGTGGATACATGAGCGGCGGATATTCATCTAGTCACTTGTAGTGGTTCAACGAAAGCCATTTCAGTAGGTCAAAGAGTGTAATCAGAAGAGAGAGCGTGCATTGGGCAACAGATTGCTTTCTGTCGATAGCCTCCTTTGATGTCAAGATGCGTGCCCTACGGCTGAAGTTCGGAAGCAACAGCAAGAGAAAAATATTAGATCTCCAAATTGGGATCGAGGTCCCGCCGCCCTGAGCGATTTTGACGGCAATTACATCAGCATAGGCGACGGAGTGGAGGATTCTGATCTGAGATAGTTGAATTTGCAGGCATATTATACCTTGCCAAGAAGAAATCTCAATTGAGAAGGAGAGAATTAAATCTCACCGTCGCCGCATGGACATTGTTACAGTACTCGCGGTTTTTGTCTTCAGCCTTGCACCAGAAATGTGATAAGGGAGCCTCGTATCACTCAAAAGCAGCGCTGCCAAGATCTCTCTTCCGGGATAGTGTCGCTGGGCCGACAAGCGACTCTGCCACTATTACTCTATACTACTGGTAATAAAAAAGCGGCCATGGCATGAGTATGATGTATATGACAGCCATAGGACACGCGACCACCAGCACACTCTTGTCTGAACTTCAACCCTAGCGTAGCTCCTTCAACATCCCTTTTGCTATCACCCACGCCTGCACCACAACAAGTGGCTTCCCTGCCACGACGTGCTCCCTCCATGGATCCGTCGCCTCATCTAACAACTTCAATACCCGAAAAGCCCGAGGACCTGTTGTTTAACTAGTCGGGGCAATCCCTGGGGCTTTCCTCTTGTATGGAATTTTTCCACAACGACTGTCTCCTCCTCCTCCTCCTCCTCCTCCTTCAAAGTTGTGCTGATCTTGGTTTGCGGCCGTCTGTGCAGGGAGGCCTTGATATTGGAATGTCTCACAGATGTTTCTCGCGACGTGGTTCTCCATCTGACGGACAACTCTATCCTTCCTGGTGTCTACCGAAGGCCGGAGACTCGTGAACATTCTGGCAATGTTCGCCACCGAAGCCTCAATTTTCGCATCCACGTCTAGCATCTGGGCTTTAGCGTGTATTCACGCAATTGCGTCTCCTCGCATTGCCTCTTGGGACAGGGCTTTTAACTTCTCGATGGAGTCTGCGTGATCCGAAGGCTCAGCATGAGAGATTCTTCTGGTCCAAGCGACCTCAATACACATTTCTATACAAGGTTTTGCTTACCTAGTTTGTCGCTGACGAATATGTGCTGGAACTATCGATCTCTCATCCCTGGATGACTTCTCCAGGCTTGTATGAGGCGATCTTGTGCCTCGGCCACGTCTCTTGCTTGACGACTTATTTCATCTTGAGCATCTGTTGGTAGCCTCTCTATCCGTCGCTCTTGGCGGAATACCGGGTTCTGCTGATCTCGCCTCCATGCTTGATGGGTCGCCTCTTCGACGGTTGATATTAATGAATCCAATTTTGTGAAAACCAAAATGACCGGCACTCCTCCGAGGCCTCCGAGATTCATGATTGCGAGGTCGGCGGGCTGAATTGCATTATCAGTCCTGGCTTGCCAGAAATACTGCAGACTCTGGTCAGAAAAGCGCCCAATTCTTCTAAAAGGACACATTTTTAGATACACACCAAATGCAGTGCAACTGCTCGTTAAATTCGGCGTAGGCCACGTTTCTCCACAAATTGATCGACGGCCTCGAACCTCCTCGTGACGCTCACTTCTATCGAAACCTCGTGAATCATGGAATTTGTACGGAGGCCCCTCTGCCGTCCGTGCTGTCTCGATGTCGGCGGGCCCAGGTGTATTCTCGTGAACCACGTTCGCCTGGAGTAATCAGTTCTGAGGTGTCGCATCCTAGAGAGACAGAATTTGCTCCCCACTTCCCTTCCCAGGACTTGATTGATCAGGGTCCCTTTGCCTGCCTTCGTGGGACCGCAAACAAGGACGCGCGCTTCCAGTGGTCGACTGATCAATTCGCTGTGTTCAGTGATATCGAGGTACCTCTGAGACGTATTGTCCATGAAGGAGATTTCTTTCTGGATGGCTGCAGCTATCGACGACTCATTGATTGTCCGGATTATGCTATAGCTACAGCCGTCCATGAAGAAGACCGATGGGTGAATGAATGCTCCCACTGGAGCTGATCAAATCAGTGACGTACATTCGCGATACACTATCCGGATCTTACCGTTCCTGATTTGGCCGGCGAGCTTGCCCTCCGCGAACAACACTCGATCCGCTGAGCCAAATGTGGCAATTTTGCTCGGCGCAAGTTCTTTCCGACGGCCTTCCCTGCACATAACGCTCGTGATATCCCAAAAGTCCACACTTATCCCGTTGATACATCTCAGTGTCTGCGTTCCTGTTCCGTCGGGGAAAACAAGCTGTCGGGGGTCTTCAATACCGGGGACATCGCGATCAGAGAATTGGAGATAGAGACCATGTTTTCGCGCTTCGGACAGCATCTATCGGAGCGGCCAGGGGACCAACCCGTCTTGTGTGTGAGCACCTCCCATGTTACCGTGGGTCCCTAGAACCAGGCCTCCTGGTAAGAGAGTACTGTGTGATCGTGTGTAGGCTGAGTGGCTACATGAAACCGCTCGGGACTCAGGGCTGTCGCTCTTTCGGGTAAAGCTAGAGCGTGGCGGACGTGAAGCACATTGCTCTGGAGGGCGACGCCATTGAGGTCGTTGTCATCGAAAGCTTTCATGGTATCAAAGCATCCAAGAAAACGGATTTTTGCCGATGCTCGAGTATGTCGTTTCCTACAGTATGTTATCCAAATGATTGGGAGTACGCCTGCGCCCAGCGTACCAGAACCACAACACCTTTAAGAAACAACATCAGCTTCTTCAAGGCTTTTCTGGAAGATACCGAAAACTTACCGAGTGCCTCTGTTGCTCCAACTGGCTTTGGGAGCGAGCAGCACGGTATATACCCCAGCCTTCTTGAAACGCACGGTCAAAATTCTGCGGGTCTAGCAACAGGGCATGTAGATGGTATAGCATCCCTGCCACCAATCGTACAATAACTAGGGGAACCCTGTCAGCAATAGGCCAAGGACATGGGGTTGGCGTATAGCCTTACAGCCTCCTCGACTATGGCCAAAGAGGAAAATTTCGTCTCGTGACGGGCAAGGCTTGCAACAAGCCTTAATACATTTCGAATTAGTCATCCCCAGCAACATGGTGAAGACACTTGCCTTATAAACCTCCTTGATCTTTGTGTTGCATCCTGACGGGCCGTTACCAGTCAACCGTGTCAGGTACCGGTCTTTCAAATCCTGGATGGCACCAACGCCCTGGTACAAAATCATGGCATATCTGACTCATTTGGCTTTCCCGTTCATTGTATCTGGAAGGTGGAAATATACTTGAAGCCATGTTTGTCCATCTTGGTAAACAATGCTCTGCTGTGGAACCAACGACCAGATCCGGGTGATGTTGCTCGGGTTGCCGTTATAGTTGCCTTTGGTGATCGAAGTCAGTTCATGTCTGTCTGCGAAGCATGTCCATCGGTCACCAATCTGTCCACTTGGATTCATCCATGTGCCGTCGACACAAACGACCAGCATACGAGGGTAGTGCCTGGTGTTGCAGTCCGCGCATAGGTCACCCTCAACCTGACCATCCCGGCCTTCCGCCTGGATGTTGAGCTGCTATTCAGTCATGTTTGGTGAACGGTCAACTTAAAAGAATATAAGAAATGGGACTGAGCACAGCAAGGGGATAGTATTTGAATGGTAAGGCTGTGCAGCGGGCATGTTCCATGGCTGCCTGCTCCATCTCTCCTGCCGCCTCAGACAGCTACAGCCGAGAGCCGCCCCAGCCAAAACAACGAGGGGTGCGCACCTCCTTTTCCATTCATTTTGCGTGAATGCAAGCCACATCGAGCGATCCCGTCAAAAGGCATCCAAAGTTTTCAGCTCCTCGGAGTCAGGCGTATTTCAGTTCCTTTTGCAGAGCCTCTGTACGGCGCTTCTCCGCCATCGCTGGGTTCACATCTACTTTTCGGAACAGCTTGTAAGCCGGCAGGACATGGTTGAGGCACTTGGTGGTGCGGAACACCCTCCGTCTTTGAAAGGTAGGGCTCTTTGTGCTAATGTTGAACTGAACAGCCGACAAACACAGAGGGTCATTTCATAATTTGCGAGGACGCCTTCATCACGATTGGTTGAGACACTCTAGACCGCAGAGCCTTTGTCCCAGGATTTCCTTAGCAGACGCCCGCTTTAGATCTTCGATTTAATCTGTTAAGTGACAAAAAAAGTAGGAGTGTTGGCTAGAGAGCTGGACGACCCCGAAAGGATACGGGTATCCCTTCTCTTGGAATGCCAAACCCACCTAATTAACTATTAAACTAAAACTCAGTAGAACTCAGTTAAGACTGCTTAAAGGGGCCCCTAACAACTGGCGCCAATGTTCATGCCTAGCTGCTCCAGACAAGGCCTCCCACCCAAGCCAATGGTCCAAATATCCCCTGCAAAGGAGATATATACGAGTTACAAACCAATAAACCAAGGCCACAGTTCCCCAGTGCGGAGAGCATAAACGTTCCGGGGAAGGGGGGGGTCTGTATCACCCCAGACAGCCGGGGAAGCACATGATTGAAGAATATTTGATGCCCTCAAACCCCTCCATGTCAGCAAAGTGAAGCCCATCGTACAATCCACCAGATTCCCTTCTGTGCCGCCTTACCCTAGATTTAGCAAAACTGAGACAAAGATGTCCGTCAGTCAAGAAAAGACGCTGAGCCCAAAGAAACTTGCGCACGTGGTCCTCCGCACCAAGGACCTAAAGCGGATGAACGATTTCTACCAGAAGTTCCTGGGCGCTGAGATTGTCTATGGGAACGAGTTCCTCTCATTTCTGACGTACGACGACGAGCACCATCGCATCGCCATAGCCGAGATACCCACAGACAGTCCCAAGGACGAGGCATCGAGCGGCCTGGACCACATTGCGTTTACGTTTGACACGCTGGAGGACCTCACGCGCGCCTACACGCAGAGGAAGGAGCACGGCATCATGCCCTTCTGGTGCGTCAACCACGGCCCGACCACGAGCATGTACTACAAGGACCCGGACGGGAACAAGCTTGAGACCCAGGTGGACAACTTTGACTCCAACGCCGAGGCAAACGCCTTTATGAGGTCCAAGGAGTTCGCCGAGAACCCGATCGGGACGGATTTCGATCCCGACGAACTCGTCCGTCGACTGCATTCGGGTGAAGACGTAAGACAGATTAAGAAAAGGGTCGAGATCGGGCCCCGTGGGCTTCCTCCTCAGATGTGAAGCACGACATGCATGCATGGTTCACGAAGAGTATCGAGGATATTTTTCTTTTTTTCTTCCCACCACCGCTCATGATTTTGGATAGTTTTATAAGCTATGCAAGGATGAATATGTTAATGAGTGCCTTTTGCAACCCTCATTAGTCAGACATACGGAAATATTTCAGTCTTGAAGAGTTGAAAGTTCTCGGGGAGAAGAAGCGTTCACGATCGGTTTCGAGAGGTCTCAAGGGGGGCACCAACACCAAACTTGCCACAAGGACATACAGCTGGCCTGGTGAACTCTCTTGCCCGTCGTCGATCTTCGGAACAACTTCCATTGATTGCCAGAAAGGAGCGCATAGGTCATCCAACGCACCACTCTTGATGCTCCGGGAGTTGTCTAATCTCAAACATCATCTGTTCGTCTTTTAAGTCAAAGGAGAGCTGTCCATCTGTCCAGACTGCTTTGATATCGCTCTTGTCTGCCGAATCCGAATTTGAATGTCCAAGAACAGTGCCATCAATCTCGAGCCTCTCCATCTTGTCCATCGTTGAGGAGACCTTTGAATAGAACCTGCCCCTAAGCTGTTCCAGCGGGTTGATCCACCCTTCATACCTCTCGGCTCGTTCGATAGTCCCCACACACAGCGGTTGGGCAACAATGAGTCCACTTTCACCGTGAGACGGTAGCATCGAAACAAGCAGGACGGCCATTGATTCGTAGGTCGGGAGGTCGTCGACAAAGGACAGTTCAGGCTCCTGGAGAATGATTCCAAGATGCATGACGTGTCCTTCTGGCGGGCAAGGCGCCTCCTTTAGGTAGGATATGACAAGCCGGTACCAAATCGTAGAGCTCGATCTCAGAAAGGAGATCTCTCGTAATTTTCGCCTCAGGGTCCCAAGACGCAACCCGGGCAACTTGAACCTGAGCCCACGTTGGGTAAGTTGGGCGGATTGAAATCTTTTGGACCGCTGATTGAGAAACGGCGTTGGCCCTTTGTCCAGAAAACTGCTCGGTGCCCATCGCATGCCTTGCTGCGACAGCCGTGGCCCATTCCAGAACAAGATCTCAGAGGACAAACCCTTGGTCAGGCGCCAAAACTGAGTCATGCGATCTTCATGAGACTCACAAGCGACTACTTGCTCAATCTCGGAAGCCTGAAAACCAGTGATGATGCTGAGGCAGACGGCTTCGTCTTCGGCAATGCTGGTGGAACGCCAGGCGAGTACATCGCCGAGCTCTCCGAGCATATTCTCTGCCTGATTCCCTAAATCTACACCTCCTCTGCCCCAATATCCTCGGAGCTTCATCCACTGCAGAGTCCAGGTGTCGTTGGTGTTGATATCGTACCAAAGCGCTTTGTCTAAGTCAAGAGTTCCGTTGCGTAGCTGAAACAAGGCTTTCCGAGCGAGCGCGCACTCCTGGAGCGTCCATAGACGTCGCATCCAGCCGCAATTGAGTATTCGAACCCACGCCTCTCGCTCTGACGTCTCGTTGAGGACAAGATCCAGGAGATATCTGTCCAGTATCAAGACAACTTCGGCTTCTGAATACGTCTTTCTCATCAACATGATAGTTTGTCGTCGAAGTTCCGATGGTTTTCGAGGGACGCAGATTGTATCAATCCAAAAAGGAACATTCCCACTCGGGTACAGTGTGTCAATCATGGCACTCAATCTCTCGTACTGACATCTTGGGATGGAATTTTCATGGGGGTTTCCAAGTCCATCGGACCAAACATGGGAAATACAAACATATCTCTTCTCTATTTCGGTAGAGATGAGCGGCAGCTCGTTTGTCCTCTCCGTTTGAGTGCCGCCCCGGTGGACTTCAAGATCAGGAACTTGATCTCTCTGACCAGCAGGGAGAACTAATGGATAATAGCCTCTTTCGAGGATTCGCTGTACCTGAAATTGGTCGGCGAACAAGTCATCACACCCGCTGCACCCCGAAACATGCTCAGTTCGATATGTCCTCCAGTCCATATGGTACGCAGTACACTTCCAGTCCTCACCCAGTTGAGAGACAAAGGCCGCAGCGTCCTGCATTTGATCGAGGGGAATTCTTTCTCGACAACTCCTGTGATCCCTGGTCGGCCCGGGCCTCTCCGAACTGCTGGCGAAGTATATCTCTGGGAGGCTCGCTATTGTATTCAGGCGAATGATCTCGATAGGGCACCAGCCGTCGTCGAGCATTCTTTGGAACAAGAAGTTTGTCTTTGTGCTGCCGAGCCACTTATCTTCTCCGAGGATGCTGAAGTACGCACACAAAAACTCTCCCAACGCCGCTACAGACAAGCAAACTACGTCAAGAATATGCGCCTGGACCCCGAGCTCCATAACGCGAAGATTCCATTCATGCGCGCAATTAAGGACATCGCATAGCCCAGATATGTCGAGCGGATTGGAATCTTCTCCACGAGGCACCAACGAATCTTCGACTGATGCTGTTGGATCAAGAGGTCCCGTTTCAGTGCTCTTTGCGGAGACGGAATCGGTGATTATTTGGATGATGTGATGCTTCCTCGGAGACAGAGTACTGAGCCGATCCTCCAAGTCTCGAAGCGTCACGGTAGGCTGCAGGGGATCACTTGCGTCCACCCAATCGGCCTCAACATATCTAGGGCCAAAAACTGTGCTCAACAGCCCAAAGAATAGCCAAGACTGTACAAAGGCAGCTCTTTCGTCCATTGATCTTGAGGTCGAGCTCAATCCTCGGATATCAGCCTCGGACCAGCCTTTCCGGTTGGGGTAGGTCTCGAAGTGACCACCATCGTATTGATCAGCTCTCAGATACGGGACGGCGATGTGAGAATGCTTCGGTTCGTGAGGAAGCTCCAAATGGTCCATATTCCTTTACAAGCCTTGTGAATTGCCGATATTAGCAATTAGCATCGCGAAATCTGAAATTCAACAGCCTGAGGCGGCGGGTGTGAGGTGAGGTTGCCCAGAACGAATCAAAAGCACGACAGACATCGGGTGTGGGGTGCGCACAGCTCTAGCCAAGCGAAGAGGTCATTGGGCTGAGCCGAGTGAGAGCCTCGTAGGAGCTCTCTCCGGCAATGATCTCTTCAGCGCGAGAAGCAGACCATGGCGATACAAGTGTTGGCGCAGAAAGAGCGGCAGGTACTACCGACCTAGCGACTAAGTACCTAGGTATCTCAGTAACCTGGGGTCGTCAAGGTGGTCAAGGTGGTCAGGGTGTGGCATTGCCAAGACTTTGGGCTGTCCCACCTTTCAGCCTTGCGCCATGGATGTACCCAGTAAACAAACCAAACACACTTCGAACTCCTTAGCCACCAAGCCGAATTGAAAAATAAGTGGCCCACTCAGAGTCCTTCGCTATTAGAATGGAGGTGGCCTTCGTTGGTAATGAGCATTTCATTACCTTTGGGGGAAAAGGTGCTCTAATCTTCATTTACGCCGTTAACTGTATTCGACATGGCGACCACTTCGCGTAGTTGAGCACCCTTTGGCTGTCACGGATGCGGCGTGTATTTTGCCCAAAATTGGAGACCCGGAGGCACACATCTTGTCTAATGCATTCGACATCTAGCTAGAGCGGTGCGATGCTATGAAGGAGGTGAGCATCCGAAGGTTCACTGGTGCCCGAATTAATTGGTTGGCTGACCTCCAGTAGGCTCGAGACGCGCTTCAAAAGGCGGGATTGGTCAAACAGGCATCGAAGTGGTGATCCAAGAGAGTAGAATTCGATCCAACAACTAAGAAATGTTCGCATGGTACATGTTTCTTGATGATTTCACAATAAAAAAGACCTCTGAACGCTTTCTGCGGACAGCAGAGATACACCAAACTCCGGCGCCGTAGGACGCGGCGTCATGCACATCTCTGTTTGAGCGTCAGTCCCTCCAACAATGAAAATACAACTCGAGAAAACTGCCAGCCCTCATCGTTAGGCTTATGATCAGATCTTCAAGATAATTCGATGTGTCGACATCTTGATTTCTCCAACTTTGGCGTCATTCAATACTCAGATAGAGGAATCTCGGTCAAACGGCGAACTTTGCAGGATACAACGTAGTTCACTTAGATCCGCCAGTTGATACATCTTTCAAGGTCATCGAAGGTAGTCTTCGGATCTTGATCACATGCATTGCTCGCCACGTGCTGGCATAGCGCGCTCAGAAATAGGAAGTCGACTTCACACTCGGGACATTTATATCTCTAGTAGTCGGTCCACTGATTGACATATGGACTAGTCACGAAGCTGTCGAAAACCCAGCTGTCAATGTCGTCCCTATTAAGACCACTCTCGCAGCTGCCAGATTCGAGATGGATAACCATAGCGGAGAATTCAGAAAATTGGCGGAAGCAGCCCAGACATTGAGTGTCGGCAGGGAGATGGCCTCTCTCGTGCAAATGGTAGCAGTCCACGTCAGCTCGTCCCCAACGGGATGGTGATTGAACTTAGATACAGACCTGCATCAGATTATTGCCATTTTTGAAATATTTGCCGCATTCAGTACACATGTTGTGGACGTCGACATCGTGGGATTCGAGTCGGTCTAAAGTGCTAAAATCCAAATGACAACGATCACAAACGTTGTGGTGGGGGGAATTATCGAGATGAGTCTGGCATGCAGCAGATGAGACAAAGAGCCTCCCGCATCGCTCGCACCATTCGCCTTGGTGGACCCGAGCATTTTGGCAATGATTTAAGGCACCATTATAGGTGTTGAAGTATCGATCACAGGGACGGCAAAAGTAGGTGTTGTGTTCACGGCAGATGTTGAGTTGATTTTCTCGGACCGTGTTGATGGCAGCTTCGACCTGGAATTTCCGGAAGAGGGTCACTGAGGGTCGCTGGTGATGATAGGGAGCCGTGAGGTCGGCATGTAGGAAAGAGTGAGACCTGAAGGGGACTGGAGTATGGGTGGGGGAGAAAAGGGGCTGGGGAGCTGTCATTTGTTTACCTACTATCCACTAGCCTCATTGGTCGCTTAAGCTTCCAGAGGCCCCAAAGAGAAGTCTTGGCATCTTTTATTTCGACGCAACTGCATAAGTTCTTTGTTCTTCCTCTACACATATCTTTCCAGATGGACGTGGCTCAATCCTTAGACAGAAATCACATGGATTTACACCTGCCTGCCCCGAGCCAATATAGGTATGCTGGACCCTGGGAACTAATTGATCGATTTCTAGCAGTTGGTGAACTGGCCAATCAGGAAAGTCCCGAAACATTGGTTCTTCAGCATCACCATCTTTGTTGGATCATCTACTGAGGTATGGATGTCAAACATACACCCGAAAGGTCTCCTTTTTTTCTGATTGCAGAACGTCTGTTGTTGTTCTCTACCCTTTCCACGCGATTGACGAGGCCCTCCGATACACTGAGTCAAGCTGTGGTTGCTCAATTGATTCGTTCCACCCCCTATTTAGGAAGTTGAAACAGCCACATGGTACGGAGTATATTCTCCGTTGTCGCCTAAATAGCTCGTACTCACCATGAGGCTCTTTGGCCGCCAGGTATGGCTTACAGACTCTGGATGGAGCTAGTTGGCTAAAGCTATCGACATTTTATTGGTTTCCTCCTGGCGTCCTCGACCGCCCTCTTTCCAAATCCGATCACTCAGCCTGATCGAGTGTTCCCTGTTCCCTTTAATGCAAAACAACCTTTTCGATTTAATTTCCCAATACGAGTTTATGATGGTTCATGTCTCAATCGGATGATATTCAGCCTTTTCTTCGGCGTGAAATAAGAAGGCCAGACGCCTCCAGGAATCTTCACAGTCTCTTGAACAGCACACACCCGTCACTCGCTTAACTCCGTTCTCAAGTCGCTCGCTCTTTGGTCTGTTTATTCCAGCCGTTCCTGTGAAGATGTTTTCAAAAGGCTACATGTTCAGTCTTTTGACGACGATTTTGCTCCTGACCTCGTTGGTGAATGCATTCAACTTTGGGCATCCTGCCAAATGGAACTTGCGGCCACTTCCAAACAAGCTCCCTCCTAGACCGTACTACGCGCCTCTGGGCTGGCCGCACAATGGATTTTCTACCTCCAATCCCTTGTCCTCACCGTCCAGCCTCACCACAAATTTGCTTGAGTCTTCCGCCGAGTCCGCGACCCCTGGATTGAGCATACTCACCTCTTCACCTCAAGGCCAAAGCACTACACCAATTTATGTTTCAGCTTTTTCAAGCTCAACTCCGTCTACTCAGTCGTTCACATCATATCCTGCTGGGATTTCGACAACTTCAAGCATCCATGCTTACTCGAGCAGCTCTCCGACCCTCAGCACCTCTCTCATCTCTAGCAGTACCCCAACTCTCAGCAGCACAATCGGTCCATATACCTCAATGACGTCCAGCATTTTGACCACAACGAGCTCTATCACGATAGGCAACTCTTTAGCGTCCGCTACTGCTTCAACTACCAGTAGTGCAGACACGTCCGGCTCTACATTGAGCACCGACACAATCACGGGAGTAACATACTCTGTTGTTACAAGCCCTGCGTCATGTTTCACTTTACCGATCCCCACATCATCACTGAGTAAAATCCCCTACGACGATGGTGCTGGAACTGGGTTGGATGGCCCAATTGACTTCTACTTCAACCCTGACAACTCGCCAGCCGGTGTTCTTGGTGCTAGTGTGAATGGTTCGTACTATGCATATGATATCTCAGACCCTTCGCAGCTCGTCATCATCCTACCGGAAGGTGAGATCGCGGTCATAACAACCCAAGGACTTACCATCTATGCGGCGGATTGCAGCTCCGAACTTTCGGTTGAAATTGACAACTTTATCGACCAGGTCGAGCTCGCCAGCACCAACTCAGCAGATGTGAGCAAACGCCAGCGTTCACGGAGGTCGTCTCATCGCATGGCCAAGCGAACGGAAACTAATTTCGCGGCCGACATTGCATTGTTCGATATCTGTGGCAATCCGGACACCAGTTCTCCCATGGTTTCAGTGGGCCAGTCGCCCTGCGTTCTGAACGAAGCCAATGGGGGAGATTATCTGTTTACCTGCCAGTACCCCGGGGCCAACAGCGATGAGGCAGCATGCGAAGCAACAGTATCAAAGGATATCGGCTATATAACGGGTGGGCCTTTGGGCACTTTAACCAATATTGAAGGTGCCGCAACAGTCCTGGCCATCATATTCCGCAGACAAGCTCTTGCTGTAATCGCTGCAATCTTCGACGCACCAGCAGTGGCTGCTGGCGTGGGCGCTCTGGCACTGGCACAAATCATCCTCAACACCGTTGGCGCCGACAATATTGCATCGACAATATGTGACATCATGCACAAAGACGAGGCATTCATCATCTCTGTGGATTCTGGTTTCGAGATCGATAATATCGCCACCATCACAGCGGCCCCCATTAGCACGCTATTTGCCACAATCACTATATCTGCCAACACAGACGCTTCTTCCACTTGCTCCACCTCAGCCACCAGCAGCCCAACTGGCAGCTGCGGAGGCGGTGCAGCATGCGGTGGATACGTTGGCTGCGGTGACAATCCGGGCCTGGACATTGGTGAATGTTTCTGTGGTACAGACGCCGATGGAAATGGCAGCTGTTCTATTTCTGTCGAGTGCGACACTGCGACTGCATGCTCTACCAATGCTGATTGCGGCGGCGGATCTTGCATCATCGACAATTGCTGTGGATTCCCCGTCTGTCAAAGTATCTGCGGCAACGCTCCGGCACTTACAAAAAAGAACAGCCGTGATTATGCTAACGGGACTATGTTTAGTCACGGAATTTGGATTGATGGAAGCTTCATGGCGAACATGGGCTAGCATAGGCTATTTGATTTGGTGCACTTTGCTCTCTTCATGGTCGAGAGTTTGATTCTTCGAAGATGAGGTGGGGATTTAGAGAGAGCGATGGAGAAGTGAAGCAGCTCTTGGAGAAGGTTCTGTTCTTCCTTCTGGCGAGTATACCAGTTTTATGTCCTCTTCATCCGAGAGCCATCGCTCTAGGAGTTGAGTCCTTGCTGTATGGAATAGGTAATGAGAATCGGATAGAAACAGCCAGACAGCCTCGCTCGACGAATTCGTAGCCTTGCCCGGAGCTCGGATGCGGGGAAATTGAGGGGCTCCCAGAAGGCCAGAGGTTCCGGACCTCTAACCTTTTGGCGCTGCGAACGTCTCTCCCACCCACTCACTTCTCGACGGATAAATCAGCCCTAGAAAGACGTCATATATATGCGCCTGTAGACCTTCCCTCCAATTTCCCTGAAAGAATAACCCTTCACAGCTCCGAATTCGTCTGGGTAACCACCTCGTATCTCCCGCTATGGCCACTCAAGTGCCAGCTGCGCTGAAGGCAGCCGACATTACCCGCTTCGCCCACCGCGCAGCCCAACTCGAGAAACCCAAACCTATCATAGCATACTGGTGTACGGATCCTACTACTCTCCTTCAACTCTCAATCAACGACTGACCTACCGGTAGGTGAATACTGGATCGTCAACCAAATCCTATCCAAAGGCCTGCACAATGCGGACCAAGAGAGCTTGGCCTACACTACAACATTGATGGACAAGCTGGAACAGGTACTTCTTGAGCTTCCCTGGTGACTTCCCTGGTGGTAGTCCTTGCTGATATTCCGTTGCAGTTCAAAGCCGAACATGCCCAAGAACCTGCGGTGACTGACGACGTCGTTGGAAAAGCATACGTGGAGCAGTTTGGTCTAGAAACATTTGAAAGAGCAGACAATGCGGTGCGTGCAAACAAGGCTTCAAGGCAGACGGCAGACACTTTCCAAGCTTCGGCGACCTTTCTCGACCTACTCCAGATCTGGGGAGCCGTCGAACCCGAAATTGCGGCCAAAATAAAGTTCGCAAAGTATCATGCCTTGAGAATAGCGAAGGCGTTGAAAGCCGGAGAAGATCCAAACCTGTCCAACCCAAAACCGCAAACTCCAAGTGAGGAAGCTCTCCCTGTTCTGGACCTGGACGATGCAGAGGTAAAAGCGTTAGAAGGAGGCAGAAAAGGCACGAAACCCAGGCAACCCTCTGTCGTTGAAGTGCCCGACGAGGCCCACAAGATTCAGAGGAGCCTCGCGCAGAAGTCGCTGCTCGATGAATCTCTACATCCCTCGAGAGACACATCAGTGCCACCTCCAGCCGCCAGGCAACCTTCGGTCACTGACGTTCCTGACGAAGCAGATCGGATACAGAGCGAGCTTGCTCGACAGTCATCCATTGATCAATCTCTCCATCCCTCGAGAACTCCTTCTGTTCCACTAGGGAATGACGTTTCTCCCTTGCCGGAACAAGATCCTGCTGCGTTCTACACCAATCGGGCCGAGCCAGGTGATATCTCTCCACTAGAGCCTCCCTCTGACCGAAAACCCTCAACAGGAGGGAATTACTTCCCTGTGGTACCATCAGCTCCAACGCAGCCCATTCTCCCATCGCCACCAACAACAGTGGGCGGACCTGCGCCAGACTTGCCCTCTACTCCTTCCAGCCTGGGGAAAGTTAACACTGATATTTCCCCAGCACCGTCAGAACCCTCCCTTACATCCGCACGAAGCGAGCTCGGTGCCGCTCTCAATCAACCACCCCGTCACCAATCCCCCCCGCTTCCGCCTCACCGCCACGGCACTCCCCTTCAACAAGCCCCGACAGATCAATCTTCCCGGATCCCTTCCAATTTTCAACCACAGGTCCCGCCGCCTCAACCTCCAGCCAATCCGCCACAAATACGACAAGCCCGGGGTCCTGTACCAGGCATTCCCCACCAGCAGGAAGCACATAGGATTATCCCAGCGCCATCGCCGATTCATCCTACGCGAGGAGTGGCAGTTCGACCTCCACAACCTCAGCCGGTTAGTGTCGAAGTCGATGAAGAGGCGATCCTGAGGGCGCAGAAGCATGCCAGGTGGGCTATCTCTGCATTGAATTTTGAGGATGTGCCAACCGCGATTGAGGAGCTGAGAGGAGCATTGGCATGTTTGGGTGGGACATGATCGCGCCCCGCAATGGAATCTCCGTATTTTTATACCGCTCTTGAACGCTGCAGTCATGACGGAACGTCTCGAGAATTACAAAATTGGAACATCACGCTTGCGGGCATAGGTGGGTGGGATCGAGAATCAGCGTACGGACTGGGACCACTTCATGGCAGGCATCTTTCCCTTAAGCAACATCTGCAATTCCACGGGAAACGTGGATACGAGGCGATCCGACATATCGCTAGCGACTGTAATCGATATATCACGGCGCGCTGGCATTGTGCTCGATCTGATATTGCGCCCATCAGCAGAATCGGTCTCGGAGCCATCTGTCCCCGTCGCATCGCAACCGGCTTGAAGCCCAAATTTTAAACTGAAAATCTATGCTCCATCCGATGGCGACGGGTCTTTGATCCAATATCGATATAAGGGCACGGATGACTTGGAACAACTCCAATGGGCAGCGCCCCGATAGCATGAATACCTACAAAGCGCATTGTACTTTAACCTTTACTTTTACTTTACCCGCGATACTCACCCAGCCATCCTAATCCTGTCCTGTCCTGTCAAACACCCTGGGAACACCGTTTAGCACAGGCTCGGGGGAACCGAGACAGCTCCAGGCGCCGCGAACCTAGATACCCAACAGTATAACCTGCACGCGCGGACAGATGGATGAAAGATTGGCGGATTCCAACGATCACGAGTGGGAAAGCCCGGACGGAAAAGTTGTTGCTCTGGTATGTACCTGTGTTTGCACAAGCTTCAGGCGTCAAGTATCAAGTATAAGCGCGCGAATTGATGTGATATGATGGTAAGCAGGGTCCAGCACACAAATACGCAAGCACGCAAGCACACACGGAACCGAAAATCTATCTCGAAGAAAAGGGACGGTGACAAACATGAATAATTCTGAAAGTTGAAATGAAATGCCCTTTTTTTTCTCCGTTGGGTCCTGCTTTCTTTTCTCTCTTTCCTGTTGTTGTTCTTCCTTTTCTCTCCCTCCCAAGTAATAGTAAGTTCCCATGGCCCTTTTTCTCCCTCATGATTTCGTCAAAAGGTCATCTCGTCCCGCTTTACAGCCGTAAATGGAGGAGTAACGGCCGGCCCCATTGCGTGGTCCATTATCACACCGAGGTTTTCGTTCCCAAACTGCAAAGTTTCGTATCCAAAGAAAAATGAAGGATGTGATGGGGAAGTGAAGCATTTCCGTCGTCGTCGCTCAGTCAAACAAATCTCCTGCCCTCCTTCTCACCCGCTTCTCCCTGACTGGCTCGTCGAATAGCTCCTTCCCTTCGTTCCTCCCGCTGGTCCGATTGTACTGGTTGGGGAACAATTCTTTGACCTCCAGAGCGCGGCCCTTTATGCTCAGCCCTCCGGAGCCTTTGATGCTGAACCCTCCCGCACCTCCGCTCTCAGATGACCCTTTGATAGATAGACCACTAGCGTTTCCGCCACTCGATGGGAACAATTCAACTCCGACGTTTGACGCCCCGTTTCTCATTGACTTGGTGCTATCGATCGAAATGCTCTTTCTGGCAAACCTCTCGGCGAGGTTCTCTTCATTTTTGGCGTCCATGGCATGGCTTCTTCTGTGATTTGAGCGAGGAGAAGTTTGTGCGGCGGAAAGGAGATCGGCCTTCAAGCGCATCGCAGCGGCGGTATTGGCACGAATGCTTGCCGCGTCGGAGGTTGATCTGAGTGGTGCAGGAGCTAGATCGGTCGACATCGAGGTGTCTACATCCGAAGCTTTGTTGGGAAAGAGTTCGAGTCTATCGGAACGTAGACCACCAACTTTGGTATCTGAAGCGGTCGATGCAAACAGCTCTTTTCCTGCGTTGGAGCGGAAGCGGTCACTGCGATCGCGATATCCTCTCCGTCGAGTCCGTCCGTCATCATCTGAATCTGAGATGTCAATTTCATCACTGCCGCGTGTCCGTACTCCTGGGCTAGCGCTCCGTCGTCTCCCCTTCGTGGCGCGAGAAAAGAGATCTCGACCTCTTGCTTTATTGACCTCTGTATCTGTCGTGGGTGCATCGTCGTACATGTTTGCCGAGAAACCCCCTGCATCATCTCCATTCGCACGGTCATTATCTCTCCTTCGTCTGTGTAGTTCGCGGTCGTCAAATCTTCTGCGTCTGTAGTCACCCCGGCTGTTCTCAAATTCTTTCCGCATTCGTTCCGTGGGATCTTGGTCTGGGTGCATGAGGTAGTATCTGCTGGCATCCCTTGCACCTTTCTTCTTTCTATCTCCCTGCCGAGAGACACGAACCACAAGCATACTTCCCGGCCTGCTGGCCAATTGTTTCGCAGCGCGCAGTTCGAACGGGTTATTCGTCAATTCTTCAACGGTAATGGGGGCTGCGAGGAAGGCGAGATGCGCTCGTTTCGCAGTATCGTTGTCACTGAAGCATATGTTCGCAGAGGTATCGTCAATCCACTGGACATGTACATCATCGCCGACTTCGCTAAAGTGGTCGTGTACAAAGGCAAGAATATCGTTCGTGTGCATTTCGTCAACGCCGCGGATGTGGACTTTGTTCCATTGTGGTTCAAGTGCCGGATCTTCAGTGTAGATGGCTGGGATGAGGTTGGAAGAATCGGTGGCAGCATGCGTGCCGGAGGGAACAAATGAGGGTTCTTCGCCTTCCTGTGCAGGTGATGAGTATGGGGATAGGTCTTCCTGCTTGGTGAGGGAGATATGCAAGTGACCGTACTTCGAGTTGGAACTCGTCATCAAGAGGCGGGCCTTGATCATCCATATCCATGTCAATGTCAATATCCATCAAATCGGCGTCCTGCGCCGCGGTAGACGCTGCAGATTGCATAGCTAGAGCCATTTTGCGCGAGCAGGAAAAAGTGGTAGGAACTTCGAACGGCCAGATTCAGAACACGGTTTGTCCGGAGAAGAAACTTGACGCGTGAATGAAGGGTCAAGAGTGATGGTACATGATTGAAGGTGACAACGCGAGGCTGTTACGACCGAGGATTGAAAAAGCTGCCAGCCGAACGACTTGGGCAATGAGACCCAACCCGAGTGATCAAATGACGCAAATGGTAAGATTGAGGATATGAAAGGTATGTGGGTGATATAATACAGATGGGACCGAGAGAGGGGAATATGAAGGCAAGCCGAGAAATGTTTGATATTACATGGTGGAAACACAGGGCTCAGAGCAGCCTCAAGGCTCGAAGTCCCAAGGCTTTCGACACCATTTCTTGGATATTCCCGATTTGATAGAAAAGTGACGCTGCTTTGCGAGCGAGTCTCCTCACCACTGCAACTCCGCATTTCTCTCCCCCCTCGCCGCGCAGCCGACTCCAAGCAGTAAATATTTCAGTCTGACAGCGAGCTTTCCGTCATCTACGGCAGTATTTCTGACAGCACCTTTCGTCATTTCTGTGTCAGACGGATTCTTAAATTGTCGTTCCACTCCCTCTCTTCATCCTCAACACATCGCAAACCTCGGATGATGCATCCTCTATATATATCCAGGCAAGGTAAGTTGTGGCAAGGCTCCCGAAAGAAAGGTTTGCGTATTCCTTCCTGGTCGCGCCTCAGGTAAGAATCAAACAGTCTCTGCTTTCCCAGAAGCAATATCCCATGCTTGATCATATTGCTCCATGAACGCCCTAAGAGTATTGCGGCTGGTCTCCTCTACGCGTCCCTACCTGCGCAGCGCCATTCATCCTTCTTTCAGCATGTCAAGCAAGAGGGGCATCTCCATAAAGCGGGTGGCCGGTTCAATAGGCGCCGAGATCCACGACGTCAACCTCTCTGATCTCTCTGAAAACCCAGGTATCGTCAGGGAGATCCGGGAGGCCCTCTTGCAATATCAGGTCATATTCTTCCGCAATCAAAACCTAGACCCCAAAGCATACCTCGAGTTCACATCCCACTTTGGCAAACCCGTCGAATACCCCTTTGTGCGCGGCATCGATGGGTTTCCCGAAATCATTCAAGTCCTCAAACAAGAACACGAGATCATCAACTTCGGAGGCATCTGGCACTCGGACACCTCTTACTTCGAAAACCCGCCAATGGGATCGGTGTTGATGGCCAAGGAAGTCCCGCCCTACGGTGGTGACACGCTATTCGCGAATCAATACGCAGCTTACGATTCCCTCTCCGAAGGACTCAAGCAGACACTCTCCACCTTGAAGGCAGTGAGTACCTCAGCCAAAGCCGACGCCAGCAAGACCCGTGAAGACCGTATTCGCGACTCCGGCAACGCCTCAGCAAATTCTACGCTAGAGGCAATCCATCCCGTCGTCAGAACACATCCCGAGACGGGGAGGAAAGCTCTCTACGTCAACGTGGCGCACACCTCCCACTTCGAGGGCTGGACGGAGGAAGAATCTGCTCCGCTGCTACAGTACCTCTTTCAGCATCAAGTGAAGCCGGAATTTACATGCCGCTTCCGCTGGGAGGAGGGCAGTATCGCCTTCTGGGACAATCGCTGTACACAGCATAACCCGATCAATGATTACCATGGATTCCGCCGGAGGATGCTGAGGATTACCTTGGAGGGAGACCGGCCTGTATAGAGGCCAAAAACGGCCTATAAATGGAGGGCACATCGCACGTTTGACCACAGTGCCCCCACCACCTAGTTTGAGACAGATCTCTTGGATAGATGGATGAGCAGAGAATAGCCGCTGTTCATGAAGAAGAGGATAGGGCATATGTAAATGGTGCTCCTTCTAACCGAAAGAAGTTCACTGCTCAGTGTACCTGCAGAACTTCCCATTGCAGACTAGACCAACCGCACCCGATGCTCACCGAACACGCCCAATCCAAAAAGGATCTATGCCCATTTCTTTAATCCGCATTCAGATTTCATGATGTCTTTCCTTTTGGATGCTCGCCAATATGCTCTGATCCCTCTCTAGGCCGTCCGGCGTCGTGAACATAAACGATATGCAATGCGATGCAGCCTTGGCATTCTTTCTCGCAGCGCAAACTCCCTGTGATGGTCGAAATCCTTTCGTCACGGGAATGACCAGTTCAGATTCATCGTCGCTGTCGCCGTCTCGGTCTTTTCGCTTGCCGGTATGATGTAGGTGGACTGGTTCCTCGTTATCGCTCGGGGTGGGATGGTGCGACTTGTCTTGGTCGGAGGAGTACTGAGAGCGTCGATGCCTGGTGTACTTCCCAACGCGAGATTTCATGTTTGAAGATGTGGCCCGAGGAGTCTTGCGCCGTTGTGGCGATGAGGACAAAGACCTCGATCTAGCCTTCTTGCATTGCTTCGATGTCGCCAGTGGCGCTTTCTTGTTTCTTCGTTCGTCAAATTTCGAGCGAGCACGGCCCACGCGGTTCCAGAAATTCTTGACGGCACTGTAGCCAGTTCTTACGACTCCATCGTAGACTTGCATCCGATGTAGGGCTTCTCGAAATCGCGCTTCCCCGTTAAGCTTTCGCTCGCTCTTGATATTGAGCATGTGGCCTATGCACGCCTCTTCCTCCCATAATGCCCAGGAGCGTGTCGGTGGCCCGAGGCGAGATTCAGCGACGAGGTGGGCAGGGGCTGGGTATGGCATCAGCTCCTCCTCCCCCCTGTCGTCGCCATCGTCACCGTGTTCGCCGCCTTGATCAGTTCCGTTACTGGGGGCGGGTGAGGCGGGGCTACTGTTGGAAGGTGTCCCAATCCCAGGCTGAGGAGGCACCCCGCTGGAAATGGCGTCCTCATAGTCACTGCCATAGCCGTCATCGCTCTCGTCGTCGTCCTCCTCGTTGCCGACTTCATCCAGTTCTTCCCCTTGTTCCTCTTCTAGTTCTTCTTCCTCTTCTTCGTCATCCACATACACGTAGCACTCATCCCCTTCATCAACAGACTCCCACGCAACCTCTCGAGCAGCATCGTCTGATCCCTTCAAGACCGCTTGTTCACCTGCAGCAGGACCAGCCACATTCTTGAAGAAGGCCCTACCCCGGGCATCTCCGTCTAGCGCGAAAGTGCTGCCATAGGCCTCCCACAACCCAAAACGTCCTCTCATGTATCTGGAGAGAGTGTCTGGATGGGCATCGAGATACTCGAAAATCTCGTTGTCGTTGAGAGGAAGGATTTGGACGATCGGCTGGCAGGTGCTCGCTACAGCGTCCAAGAAGCAGGACTCGCTGGCATCGGTAAATGCCATCCTGGCTGATTGCTTGCTTGCTTGAGAGACGAGAAGGACGAAAAGGACAATTGTTTGCTTGATGAAGTGGTAAAGGTGTCGCAGTGGAGAATGTAGTTTTTGAAAGGAGACGGGGAGAAGTGGTAGGCGCAGAGTGTTGAGGATATATATATATATATATAACAGAGCCATGGCTTGAATACTAACCACGGATCTCAGGCCGTCTGAATGAGTATTTTGACATATTATGCTGGAATAGACTTATTGATCCCTTTAACGGTAGTGATTGGCTTGCAGCAGCTGAATATGAATCGAAAGATGCTGCACTAATAGAAACATGTGACATGCAGTGAATCGCCATAATCGACGGGTGACAATAGAAAACGAAGGAATGCAAGGCGACCAAGCATTGTCAATGTTCCGCCATACCTGTTTGTCCATGTTCAATGCATTCAGTAACGTGAGACGAATCGAGGAGGGGCACGGCTCGCAACCAAGTCTCGAAGTATAGATTGATAGATGCTGGAAACCGTTTCACCGTGGTCAACTCCAAGATGCATCCGATCCAGAAGGCTCATCGTTGCAAAGCAGATTTGCTGCTCAGCCTTGCTGCCCCAGGCCGAATCAGATCCATAAAGATTCCATTTTCACTCGACTTGGACGTGAGAGTGACACCTAAGGCGAGGCACCTGTATAGTGCTATGGGTGCAATTGCCCTATAAATAAGCGTGGAAAGATAGGAAGATGCAGCGCGACTGTCTCAGGATGAAGATGAACAGGAGCAAAACGGCGACCTGGAAGATATCGCGCTGACGTCATACAGCCCACCGTATGTTCTCAGCTCAGCTGTAGCTGCACTACGGTGGAGTGTCTGGCCACTTTCATCCTTCTCCCGCGTTGCGCGTGCGATCCCGCACATCTCTTGCTTTCACTCATGCAAAGTTAAAGTCAACCAAGCCAGCCATGCCATGGCCCAGGCCGTGGTCATCCTCGACAAAGGATAGGTCTGACTACCAGGGATCTGTCGCTGAGAGAGCCACAGAATCATGGAAGTCAGAGGCAGCTGAGACCGTCCAGCAAGAACCTTCCAAATCCCTCCCTTCACAATTCAGAGCCTTCAGTCAACCCGAAACCATCCTTGCTGCAGCTGCACTAACAACAGCTTCCATTGGCCTTTACAAATTCTACACGTCCTATCTCCGCAGAATACCACAAGCGATCCACATCAGTCCTGGGTTCTTTCGGCGGAGAAGCATCGTGGGCCAAGTTACGAGCGTGGGAGATGGAGACAATTTCCGAATGTATCATACGCCGGGGGGCAGATTGGCTGGCTGGGGTTGGTTTCCTGGGAGGAAAGTTCCAGCAAACAAAAAGGATCTGAAGGACCAGACGGTAATTTGGTGTGCACCCTATCCAGGAGACGACTGGAACTGATAAGGTGTTCAGATACACGTCCGTCTTGCAGGAATAGACGCCCCTGAACTTGCTCATTTTGGACGACCTGCACAGCCATACGCCCAAGAGGCGCTTGAGTGGCTCACTGCGTATATCATGGGTAGGCGGGTTCGGACCTATGTCTACAAGGCAGACCAGTACAGCAGGGTGGTGGGCACCGTCTATGTCTGGAAAGGGCTTGTACGGCGCGATGTCAGCCTGCAAATGCTTCGAGCGGGCCTTGCTACCATATACGAAGCGAAGTCAGGAGTTGAGTTTGGCAGGGCAAGAGAAGAGAGGTACAGAAGGGCGGAATGGTGGGCGAAGGCCAAGAGAAAAGGCATGTGGGCTGGAAACAGAAAAGACTACGAAAGTCCGCGAGAGTACAAGACCCGATATGGGGTTGGGGCTCCTCAGGATGAAATGAAGCAATGAGGGGAGGTATGAAACCGTGTCTGCTTTCAAGCGAGTCTTTTTTGGGCAGTGGGCGCGGATCCCCAAACCGTTCAGGAACAATGCGTTGCACTCAACCTAGACCCTGCTTTTGCCTTGCTCCTCCCGTATCCATCTCGCCAGGAGACGTCGTAAGGGTGAGGGGAATCACGTGACAATGCCGGGTTGATTTCGCCTTGGTATCTGACCTCAATCTTTCTGCCTTTTTATCATCAAGACTCCTACCAGAAATGCCTGCCACAGATTCGTCCGCAGTCATTGTTGCCCGCTTTCTGAAAGCAAATCATTACGATAAGGTTGGTTGTGGCTGCAACAAGCTCTAGATGCCGAATCAATGTCTAAACTAATTAACTCAGACTCTCGCAGCATTTCTCGCTGAAGCAGGGCTTCCCGACGAAGCGGCAATTACTAATCCCGGCGACTGGACAATAGAGAAAATTCTCGAGGAGAAGAAACAGTATGACGCCAGTCTCGCCTTTGAAAAGAAAGGCGATGATGCTGATGTTGGTTGGGTACTACCAGCTCCCTCGAAGGCGGTTGAGCCTGAGGGGTTCCCTGTCACGTCAAACATCCTGTGCGTGAGCGGATCACGCAGCAAAGAGAACGAAGAGGGGGTGGTCTTTGTTACTGCTGCCGACCGCTCATGGGCCAATGTTTCGGCTACACCGCCATTTACGCTGGCAGGCTCAATTGAGAATGCCCACGGAAGTCCGATTTTATCCATCAGCTCTCTTGACGAAGGATATGTCTTCTCGACTTCCATGTCAGGGCAGCTAATGCTACATGATTCACGGGGTCGATTGCTCGACAAAGTACGCGATCATCTCAAGTACGCGGTGCAGGTGGTCTCGGGATATACTCGACAGGGACGATGGATTGTGGCGACGGCGGGTTGGGATCAAAAAGTCCACATCTATGCTCCTGAGAATGAACTCGCTGAGAATTTCCAACCCAACACCAATTCAGACATTGTTGCCGGCGATCCTTTGATTCACGGACTGCTCGGCGATCCGATCCACACCATCACAATGCCCACGAACCCAGAATCCATGGTCCTCATTCGAAACCCAGACACTCACGATCTCTACCTTATCCTTTCGCGACGCGACTCGACGTTCCTGTACTACTACTGCATCACACCCACGTCTGATGAGTCTTCTTCGTCTCGAGGCAGCGAAATCACGTACTCGGTTCAAGAAACTGGCAGGCAGAACCTCGCTCCACACTCCAATGCTTGGATCGCCTTCACCCCTTCCTGTCTGGCCATGTGTCCCACGGATCCCTCTCTCTTGGCTGTCGCGACGTCTCACCTTCCACATATGAAACTTCTGATTGTCCGACTGCTCTTCCCCACGTCCTCCTACAACTCCACCCATTCCGTCGCCATGAACAACGAGTCCGATTCGCAAACGCACGTCTCCCAAGCCCGCGCTGCCCTTGCGCTGCAGGACCGTGAAGACGCCGCGATAAAACTGCACGTGACCACGTTGGCTCCTCAGACTCCTTACTCTACGCCGCAAGTCGTCTGGCGACCAGGTGGGAAAGGCGTGTTTGTGAACGCGGACGACGGAGTCATCCGAGGTCTAGACACGCATAGCGGGAAGGTTGTGGCTATGCTCAAGGGACATGACGTCGGGAGTAAAGTCCGCACATTGTGGGCAGGGTGGGAAGCTGCGGATCCTGGTGTGAACGTGCGGGGGAAGGGGAAGAGGGAGATCCTTGTCAGTGGTGGATTTGACAAGAAGGTGTTTTTCTGGACGGTTGACACAGCTTAGGTGCGCGTTTCTGAGGGTTTCTGAGACCAGATGTCGGAAGGGTCATTGTCGTTTCATGATAAACTAGAAAGCATGACATGATAGACAGCCCCATATCAGGGTTACATATGCGATGTTGCAATCCAGGTTCTGTCTTCAAGTACGGACGACGTTTGCCCCCATCTCTATATTTTAACTCGGTTGTTTGCAGTCAGTGCCACGCCAGCGCGGCACCAAGTCGTCGACATGGCAAGGAATGTTCAAGCCCTACTCTAGCATTTTTGCGTCGAGTTTCTCTTGCGCCGCACTACGGACGTGTCTCGAACATCCCCTCAGGCTCTGAGAGCCAATATGTGCAACGTGTCGCCCGGCCCACGCAGGCATACCAGACTTGGTATGTACCAGATACTCTATTTCCATCTAAGATTCCCGTTTGCCAGAACTCCTCTCCCTTCGCAATGGATCAACACAGCACCACCGGCGCGGAGGCGGACGGGATGTGCTCGTCGTGAGGGGCTCAATGGGGCAAGAATACGTGTTCCAAGACGCAACGAGTGGTGGAAAGAGAAGCCTGACAGAAAAGGTGGTGAGGTCCTGGTTCGTGTCCGCTTACTTGGTCCTTCGGATGAGGGATCTATGGCGGGGTAGGGTATGTATACGATGTTTCCTCAGGACCTTATAACCCGTCCTGCCTTCGAAGAGCGCGGCACAACCTAAGCTAAGGAACGTCTGCTGAGCGAAGGAGAATGTGAAAACATACATCGCGTTAGCCTGGGGCATTGTTGGACGACGAGGTCTGGTGAAAGAGGCGAGTTCTCGCGAGGCTCGAGGGTCTCGTCTCGTTAAGCGAGTCCTTGTAATGTGTGTCTACAAGAACACCAAACTCTGGAACAATGTCTGTGTCTTGTAACTGTGGGGTTTTTACCATACCTCCTGAATTTTCAAACGCGGCCGTTTATCTTCAATATCTCACGCCTGACGAGGCAAGGCAAATCCACAAACAGTTCAAGGTTCGCTGTCTCCGCCCTGTCCTATGGACCGGAATGCACGAAGGCCTGGCGCGACAGTGGGCCAACAAACGCGGAATGCAGACATTAATCACGGCCATGGGCCCACTGATGCAGACTAACAACCCCTCCTGTTTGAAATTGAAGAAGTCACCCACGGCCTGGAGCAAATATATGAAAGGGGTTTCAGCAATTTTTGCGCAGTACGCTATCCAAGGCGAGGTGGCTACGGTGCTCTCACCACCTCCTCCAGAGCGGTTTCATCCCTCTGGTTGGACCAATTTTCAATCCATCGAAGAGCCCATCTTGAAAGGGCAGTTCGGGGGCCCTGCTGTGGCGCGAATCGAATTGATCCACCCGGGAGTTCCAGGGGCGGAGGACTTTCGATACGAATTCTGGCCTGTCGATGAAGCATCTTTGTGGACCAAAGAGTTCGGTACGATTGATGTGGGGAGACCGCATTGGAGAAAGGTCAAATCGCGACCTCCTCAATCGTCATTGCAGGTAACTATCCGAGAAATTATGAGTGATCGCAACGCAGAATTGAAGTCGTTCCTGGTGCAGTGCAGAACACATGGAGAGAGATCGCGTGGCTCTCAATCGAACATAACAGCTGTGAAGGAAAACTTGATACCGGCGAAGGTAGCAGAGAAGGTAGCCTTAATCGCCATGACAATGGCAGCGAAGCCGGTACCTATGGAGCCGGCAGGGAAAGTGGGGAAAGAGACCGCTTCAGAGATGATCAACACGAAGAAGGCCAAGGAGTCAAAGAATGCGGATCTGACACCTGCAAAGACCACAGCAAAAGACGTGAGAGCCACAGGTACACAAGAGAAGGAGAAGAAGGAGAAGGGGAAAATGCAACCAGCGCCCGTACATGCACATGGAAAGATGATCAATAAAAGAAATCCACCCAAGACAGAGAAGGTAGTTAAGCTGCCGCAAACGACGACAGCAGCACAGAATGGCCAAAAGAAAGGCGAAAAGAAAAGCAGTGTGAAAAGCAGCGTCAAGCAGCTAAAGCCGGGGAAAACCTGAACTGATGTAACAGGGGAAATCTGACCTTGAATACGTACCGTCCAATTCTCCTTCCATAGTTCATCGCTGAATCGAGGTCTTCAGTCTGGTACAGGCGATACATCTCTTAGGTTAGATATCCGGTCCTTCGAACAGCCAGAAACTTCTCCGCTCCTGAATGCATCTCCCAAGACGAGATAGAACATTCGGCAGTCGTCCAAGCTCACGGTTATCTTCGCTGTCATATTCATCATAATATCATTCCAGCCTTACTCGAACTTGCCAGTCCACTGTAATTCGTTAGTCGCAGGATCTCATATTGGCCATTTTGGCGCTATAAATTCTCCTTCGCGTTGGCTCTCCTCGACTTCCTTGGGATCTTGATTGCTCCGGTTTGTTCGAGGCCGGCTCCTGTAAACTGACGGCCACTGAGGAGTTTCTCATCAGGACGTAAAGATTCCCACCTTGACCTGTTGCATCTTCCTTTCATTTGGCGGCACCTACGGTGACTAAGCTAGAACGTCTGAGAGAAGGAACGCGGGCTCCGGAGACGGAGCACGAAGCCCATGTTTCGCCCCTTGTTCCGCCAGCTGAGCCACTTTTTCACCCGAATATGCCTCCTCCGGTCGAAATGTGAAAGTCAACATCTATGGACGGCGGAGGCGGAACTGCGCGGAGCGCTTGAGGCATCGATGGACTCCCTCTTTACCACGTTGAGGAAGACTTGATCCTTCGACAACCGGCTGAGCACTTCATTGCAGAGACCGAGTGTCGCCGCCACCGCCAAGTATAGAAGGTCTGATAGTGGCTTCAAGCAGCTTGATCGATAGGACAAAGAAGCGAAGTAGCGGATCACCTGGACGAACTTGACGCGCGTCTTTGGAGGAATCTGACATTCCGACCGTGGTGTCATTTGAGTCATTTGAGTCATTTGAAATTGGACCCACTTCTAGAGGAACCTCGGGTTAAGGGGCGCTGGTGTCTAGGCACATGCTACGATGCTTCTGGGAGCGAACCATTTCCTTTCTATATTTTTGTGCTTAAGTATCTGAATGCGGCGTTGAGGTCTCCTGTTGCTGCTTTCTCGAATCTATCCGTCAGGTCAAAATGGATACTATCGAAGGTGAATTCACCACCAAGGATGGCACGAAGTTGTACACCAAAACATGGAAGGTACGGACCCAGCCGGAAGCACCTCCCTGTCACAAATCAACCAACTCATCTCGATGCGTTGTTGATGGATACGCCTACAGTATCTCTCTGACCCTTGCCGTTGCCCACATCTAGCCCCGAAGTGATGCAGTCCAGGCCGTTTTGATCTTCCTTCATGGATTCTCCGATCATATCAATGGTATATTTGACCCGGCAACGCATGCGGCTTACTGAGTGACTTACATTCACTAGCCTACTACGACCTTTTCCCCACCTTGAGCTCTTCACCATTCAATGTTGCCGTCTACGGATTTGACCAGCGGGGCTGGGGCAGATCATGCCATAAGCCTGCAGACAATGGCAACACTGGCCCGACAGCGGTGGTACTGTCCGACATCCACGACTTTGTCCTCCATGTGGCATCACTGCCGGAAACCCAAGGCAAGCCGTTCTTCCTGATGGGTCACAGCATGGGTGGAGGCGAGGCTCTGTGCTACATGCTTTCCACCTCCCCAGACTTTTCAAATCGTCCAGCGTTCTCGGGCCTTCTCCTGCAGGCGCCTTACGTGGAAATGCATCCCTCGAACCAACCGTCTTTCTTGAAGGTCCAGGCGGGAAAGCTAGCCGCCATACTCCTGCCGCACACGCAGCTCAAACAAAAGCTGAGCGCAACATACATGTCCCGTTCCGAGCAGGTCTGCCAAGACTGGATTAATGATCCACTGTGCCACGATACCGGCACCTTGGAAGGACTCAAAGGACTTTTGCAAAGAGAGGCAGAGCTCTCCCATCTCTCCCATGGCCGCACTGTTCATGGCTATACAACCAAAGCCCCATGTCCTATGTGGTTCTCTTTCGGCACCGGCGACCGAATCTTGTCATACATTGCGGCGCAGCAACTCTTCAACGTCCTGGAAGCCCCCAACAAGGACAAAACGTTCAAATCATATCCCGGTGCCTATCACAAGCTCCACGCCGAGCCCGACGGAGTTGGTGAGCAGTTCGCGAAAGACGTGGGAGAATGGATCCTGGCACATGGCAACAAAGAGGCTGAAGTCGTTCAGGTTGGTCAATCACAATCTGATCAGAAGGCGGACGGTGGCTCATAGATGACAGAAGCCGAAGCTATGATGGAGATACCTCCAAAGATATTTTCATCAGATCACAGCACAGACTCTGTGTGCCATCTGCACCCTCAATTCTGGTGGGGAGGGGGTGCGCCTTGGGCGACTGACGAGGCTGGTTCCTGCAGCTGACACGCGCACATGGAACCAATTGGCGCATGATTTCTCTGGTGAATGACGTTTGAATTACATAAGAAAGGCTGTCTTTCCCAATTCATACTAGCGCGGCATCAAGTTTTGTGTGCTGGCCTCGTGCGCGATTGTCAAACCTGCATCTCTCCAAACAACCCATTGTTTAGCTGCATGCACTCTGGAACACTCCGCGATCGATGTCGTCCATCATATACCAATGCACCGACTCCAAGCATTGGCAAATAGCGTTGCGGATCTGCCAATCCCAAAAGATGGCCCCACGACATGCGCAGCCTTGCCTGACCTGTTCGTTACACCGTCCGCCTGACCCACACAACCAGTCTGGTGAGACATTCAAATGCTCAACTGTTGTGTCTTGAGACCTTGACAAAGGGCATCTCAGAATTTCCATATGCATCACAATGTCCATCCACAATGCTCATGCACTCGTTGAAGGATGGCTCTCCTAACAAGTAGGCGGACAAGTAATTCAGCGATCATGGGGAGATTGTGTTTGCCTTGTCTCAAAATTCCTTTATACTCCCTGCCCAAGACTGGAAACCTAAGCAAACCGTAAGTGTTTCTGTTCGACTCCCTTATTGCTGCTGTGTTTCCCAACATTCAAAACCTCCAGCTTTTAAAGCCAAATCCGTCGCTGCAAATATGACATCCCACCATGATTGCCATTGCCCGCATTGTTCCACCAATTCCAGCAAACGCAGCAATCGGGAGCAACCAGTGCATCATTCAGGAGAACAAACGGTGAAAGTCCTCAAAATCTCCACCCGCGACATTTTCCCTTTCGTCAAAGTATTTGATGCTCCCGTCCGTTTCGCTTCCAGAGTAGTCCACAACATGAGTCCTCTTTTACGACTTGAAAGGGTTCGCGCTCCGCCGTACGAGAGGGGCTGGAGCTACGTGGAGCGCAGAAGTGGGCAGCTCTGTCTGGTGCGAAATAGGAAGGATGGACTTCGCCTCCATCGCCCGGCGAAGAAGAGAGCACTACCTAGAGACAACGGGAGAGAACCAGAGAGAGAGGTGATCATTGTGCGTGACGAGGATCTGCCGGCCATCGGCCGGCATCATCATGTTCATCCAAGGGGAGACAGACTGTTTGTGGATGTCTCTCAACAGAGAGCTGAGCGGCGAGGATCAGACGACCCCCGCGATACATCCCCACGACCGCGCCCAAGAATCGAAGTCCGCCGTCCTCTGAATGCCACTCCACCGCCCTCTCCAATGTTCGAAGCACCCAGCCCGGAGGCATTCCCCTACCGTATCGTGCAGAAAATCCCCGTCGAGCGGGCTCGGCTTCGTCGCGTCAGACCTGTCCAAGTCGTAGACGACCCTCTTCAGCACGTCCTGCCCGACGACGATGAATGCTACGAGGAACTCTTTGATTCAGCCAAATTGCCCGACAGGGAACCGAGACCTTATCACATCCCCGAACCCGAGAACGCGGTGTGGGATGAGGATATGGATGCTTGGGTTGTTCGGCGCGCCCCGAAAGTGAGATTTTCCTGACACTAAAGACACCAACACAACGGGCAGACCGGACGTTCATCCCCTGATACTGTGAGATGGACACCTCCACCAGACAATGTTGCTCGCTTCGTCATTACCACCTGCAGGCACGGCTTGGGAGAATAAAGGTGAAGAAAGGGGGAGGGGAAGAGGGCGAGGGGGAGGGCGACGGAAGAGATTCAGCCTTTCGTTTTCTGGCACGTTGTGTTGCCCGACCGATACGAGACAGCAGCCGGGCTGGGCAGGGCAGCAAGAGTTCAGTGGTTGGCGACACGGAGAATACGGCAATCGTTCACGCCTTCGCCTGGGGGGTGTATTACCGGGCGTTGTGGAATTTTCTTGCATGGTTACCGACGGGTTGTTGCTGCCGTGGATCGATTTATTGCCCTTTTCCTGGTTTCTTTTCGTGCAGGGAATAATACATCCTCTATCACTCTTAGGTCTTTCCCCCCTCTCGGACGCCTTGAATTGAGCCTTGGTTGACACACTGTTGACGCACTGGGGGGCCTCTTTGCTTCCCTTTTCACTTAGTCTTCTCAAACCAGTTGTGCGACGCTCCTTCTCGACTCCCTTCAGTTGCAAGCCATTCATATTCGACAGCCTGCTCGATTGACTATTTTTCACCCATCTTTTATTCCTCCAGGAAGCCCTCTACCACACTCCAGAACTCCTCGGGTTGCTCCACCCATGGCATATGCCCACACGGCTCCAGGATCGCCAATTTACTCCTCTGGACACCACTGGCGATCGCCGCACTGACCTCCGGCGCCGCGGCGCGATCCTGCCTTCCGGTGAGAACCAGCGTTGGGGCCGTGACCTTGTGCAACTCCGCCGCTTGGTTCCACTTGGCGTTGCCGTCTCCAGGGGCGCCTTCTCCCGGCGCAGAAGCAGAGTCCGCAGCATAGTACGAACCGTAGGCCCACAAGCTAGGCTCGCCGGTCCATTGCTTCTCGAACTCGGCCGGTCCACCGAGATCCGGGAGCGCAAAGTACATAGGGAGGATCTTCAGGATGAACTGTTTGAACTCCGCATCATCCGTGGGAAGATTCTCGAAGAACAGTTTGAAGGCTTCCTCGAAAAAGGACCGGTCCTTGCGAGCGTAGCCTAATAGGTCGGAATTGGAGGCGACTAGCTTTTCCACCCGTGATGGATAGGCAATCGCGTAACCAAGTGCGATGGTCCCGCCTGATGAGTGCCCCATGACACGGATCTTCTCGAGACCCAGGTAGGCGCGGAGGGCCTCGAGGTCGTCAACGATGTGACGCGAGGACATCTCCTGAAGGGACGACGGACGTTGCGAGTCATCGTTGCCGCGCGGGGATGGGACAATTACCGTGTACTTTGACGAGAGACGGGAGAAGGCGTTGATATACAGCTCAGCGCCGACGCCCCATGGAGCAGGGTGGACGACCAAAGGTGGGAGACTAGGCGAATCGGCGAGGACAGTGTAGTGAATTGTAAGATTGTTGAGTGTAGTGCTGTGCTTGCCGGGGGTGAGCGGTGAGTATGACATCTGTTCTGCTGAGCACGAGTCGTGCTGGCTGGCAAGGAATAGGGGGAAAGATTAAAACTTAGGACAATTAAAGCATTGTACAGCACGATGGAAGATTAGGGTCTTGAAGCCTTTTCAATACGAGGACCATAGAAGTGTAGGAACAAGTAGTAGTTGTTGTACTGGAAGACAGAGTTCGGCGACGCGGAAGCGGCCTCGGCGAGAGTGACCCTTGCGGAATCTCGTGAACATGTTCAACCTACGTGCGTAAGCCGCCAACCAGAATACGAAGGGATTCTCGATCATGCAGCCGCGTGGAAGCCCACAACAGGGTCCCCAAATCCACCAGACGTTTGCCTTGGCCTTCGAGTTTGAATTGTTAACTTCGGGGAAAGCTTCAGGCGACCTGCTAGCTCATGATTCGTTCATGCCGAGGGGCCAGAAAATGCTGAAACGTTGTGATGATACTTTAACCCCAGTACTAGTCGGACGGATTTTTGGCCAGTAATTTAGTCTGCCGTGGTATTAGAATGTTGGTCAAAAGTAATGAACACGCGCAGTTTTGGCTGGTTCGTCGTGTTAAAGAGATGGGAGCAGACCTTAAGGATTCTGGTCTGTTCACTCTAGACATCCTCCAGCCTTCCTGCAGATGCCGTGCAAGTCCGGGCGCTCCGCTTCATTAGCGGGAAATCTGGGCGTGATTGAGCGTAGGATTCTGATCAGCATCATTTGCATGCAGCAAATGTTTTTGTTCATAGAGATGACGGCGTTCCTTGGCTGGTCCAGAAGCAAATGGACGGAACAAGAGGCCGGGGCATCACAGCAATTCTTCGCATGTCCAGTCTTCATACCTTTCCGCGGGTCAGCATTGCGTTTTCAGACGCGGATTTTCATTCAGCTCACCATCCGTCAGGCAAATAACGGCGGACAATGAGGGGGATCTTTTTCTGATTCAGCTCCTTAATCGCAATCTGCAATGGATCTGTTTCGCCCTCTAGATCGACTAGTACAGGAGCATTCATGCTGTCCACCTGTTAGTCGCCGTCCTCACAATAGCAACATCTCACAGAATACGTTAGCTACCTACCTGATCTGCAATGCTCTGGTACCTAGCACTCTCGCACGCTCATATTTTGTCATGTAGGGAGTGGTCGTTCTCTTGTCATCGGGGATCTTCTTATCGGCATCGCTGGAGGGTTTCTGGACATTTTGGTTTGGATCGGCAGTCACAACGGTTCGCTCTTCGCCTTCTTCCTCTCTCGCCCGCGCTTCGATCGCTTCCTCGTCGACTTCGGCATCCGGAGGCAGTTCGTCTTCGATATTCTCCTCAGGTTCATAGAAGGTATCGTCAGGCTCGTCCCGGCCGTAGCTGTGAGATCAAACAGATGTGTTAGAGGCGAGAGCAAATGAAAGAAGTGAAATAAAACTGGCGCGGCGCAGTCACTTACCCACCGTCGTCCCCGTAATCCGACATTCTCAATAGCCCAGTGCAGAGACAACGATGATACAGGGTCGTTCAAGAAATACGAGATCCTAAGAGGTGCGTAATCGGTGGACGAAATTGCTGTTGGTTGGTTGTTCTGTATTCCCTTCCCCGCGGAAAACAAAAAAGTTTTGGATGTCGCAGCCTTGTCAAGGTTGTCACACGTGACCATTCTTGGCGCGACCCCACAACAACCGCAAGGCTCGCAGAAAATACTTCCACGGCCGGCGACCCCACTCTCCCATTCGCTACCGGCAATGTCTCAACCCCTCGTAATTTTCGTCGCGGCCTGGTATTTCCAAGATTCTGGCGGAAGGCAACCAGGGCGCGGGTGCGCAAAGCCGTCGCTAAGATGCGGGTCGATTCTGACGACGACGAGCTTGACAATGACTATGATATGCTCGATTCCGACCTTGACGACGATCTTAAGAAGCCGATTGACGACACTCCAGCTTCAACTCCTCCCTCAGGTCTTCCCTCAGGTCCTCCCTCAGGCGCTCTCCCTCGCTGTCGCCAGAAAACACTAAAATGCCGTTACCCTGACTGCGACAAAGCATTCGATCGCAAAGTGAGGCTTGAGGAGCACGTCCGATCCCACACGAATGAGCGCCCCTTCCAGTGCCCGCATCCTCCCTGCACGAAAGCTTTCTTCCGTGACAGCCACCTGAAACACCATGTCAAAAGTCAACATAGCAACATCAGGGATTACCATTGTTCATGGCAAGGATGCAGTTCCAGTTTCACGACGGGGACAAGACTGCGACGTCATCTGGAGACCCATGAAGCAAAGGAGAGATTCAGATGTCGCGGATATCCTGGTTGCGACCAGACTTTCCGCAAACAAGAGACTTTGGATCGGCACATATTGTCTGTTCATCAAAATATCAAACCCTTTCCTTGTAAAGAGCTAGATCCAATAACCGGCGTCCCATGCAAGAAAGCCTACGACACAGCAGAGAACTTGCGCTCTCATGTGCGCGCCAAGCATGACACTTCACGGTTTTCTTGCTCTGACTGCATGGCTCAGAATGCAGCTATTCTTGCGAACCCCGATGATGGGAGGGAACTTGCTCAGGCATCCTTTGCAACATATGGAGAGCTCCAGGCTCACCTCACCATTGTCCACCCGCCAACTTGTCAGTATTGCCCAACCTCATTCACTACCAACAAAGAATTGACCCGCCACCTTGAAATCCAACATGGGATTCTGCCAGAGAAAAAAACAGAAGATCTCACCGTCTTTACATGTACCGTCGAAGGATGCGGTAAAAAATTCACTAAGAAAGGGAACCTGAATGTCCACATCAAAACCGTCCATGAGAACAAGCGTGATTTCGTGTGCGGCAAGACCGAAATCTCTCTTCCCGCAGAAATTGCAGACCATCAAGATATCGCGATTCATGGCTGCAATCGCAGCTTCACTAGCAAAGCTAGTCTTGAAGAGCATGTTCGTACTGCGCATCTGGGACTGGAATCAAAGCGAGTGCTTCGAGAGAAGAAGCGCAAGGCCGACCGTCACAGCGACGATGAACACGATACTGGTGCTGGAGATACGCGGCTTAAGAAGCAGCGCAAGCCCCGCTCTGACAAAGGCATCAAGCGAGCATCTGCTATGGCTAGTCTTACTGGTGTTATCGCTGCTCCTGCGGATTCTGTTGGTGACTCAACGCAACCAGAACAAAATCAATATGAATTCGTCAATGTTCATCCAATGATGGTGGAGGAAGATGAAGAGACAACTGCTAAGAACACGCTCCTCTCCGGCTCCATGGTTATTTGTGACGACCACATCTGGCATCATGGCACGTCCTATCACTACCCGTCTGGAGAATATCCGACCCGTCTTTCGAGAGATCTCGCTCGGGCAAGGGTTCAAGATGACACCCAGTTTGACGACTTTGTTCATGACGAAGGCTTGGGCGTGGAGGGTGCTTATGACGAAAGCGACCTCCATTTCTTTGGCCAGTTTGAGCAAGAGACGGAACTAATGCAGGCCAGGTATGAGTACCCTGCACTATGAATCTT